CACTGCCAAGAACGTAAAGAATCATTGGTTCTTGACATCATCCTCTTGCCAAAGGGCAATTACCTCTTCTGTATGCATTGCCTTAATCATGTCAGGTTGCATCCCATAAATTTGAATGTCTCCCAAGGAAGCACAGTGCATTGCCAGCAGCCTGATAGGCCAGATCAAAACAATTTCCTAATGTATGTTTACATCAGCTTTGGCTCCTGAGCTGCTTTTGCTCTAGTTGTTCTGCAAAACTGAGCACATTCCCCCTCTCTAAACTGTGTGTTGCATCGGGGATAGGAGGCGGAATAAGCAGAATATGGATGGATATGTTGTCCTTACCAGAACTGGGCAATGCTTTCTAGAGCCATGAACTGCAATCAGCTACACAAATGAAACCACATGCTAGATATAAACACAGTCCTCTGAGACGGGCTTGTTTTCACAGCCAGTGAGGGGAAAAAGGGAGGGAGTGCACAGGCATGTATGATGGGGGGGTGTAATGAATGCCAGCTCCCCTCCTGACTCTCTGGGATACGTGAGGATGACAAACTCTCTGAGGAACAATTCCTTTGACTGGCTCGTTGAGGAAAGGAAACTTGTCACGCTGCCAAGAAAAAAACTGCTTCTGGGCTTAGTTTTGAATTTTATAAAGTGAATAAGTGAAAAACGTATACACATTCACTTCAGACCCAAGTCATGAATAATTAAAAGAATATATAATTGTACCCAGTTTTCCCCTCAAGCTCAACCAGCAAAGATATCTTCTGTCCATGTAACAGGGTACTTCATGTTTTTTTCAGAAACTGTAAGAAGTGAGCTGAACCAAGTATCACTGAATTCATACTGCATGCAAGTATGAATAACAGCCTGACCATCAGAACACCCAGAAGTGCAAACTGAGAACTCAACAGTTTCATATGAAGGAAGCTGCAGATTTTTTGGTTATGCATAAATATTTTCCTGGTGTGATTCACCCACACTTGATATTGGATTTTGACCACAACACGATAAAAAATTATATTATAAACACAGCATTATGGTAGACATTAAGCTGATACAGCAAATGGCAAAAATCAGACATTTTTTTTATGAGACACAGTAAGATAGGAATGTTTACCATGTCAAAAATACCTATGCAGAAAATACCCTCTGAAAATAGCAGTTGTCTATCTCCCTTTGGCAGTGTAAATAGCTCTTTTTTTCTGAGATGATAGGCAGACTTTCTAGTACAAATTAAGAAATGTGAGTTGGTGGTATACAGGCATGTGTTTGTGCAATTCTACTGGTACACTGGAATTGTTCAATGGTATTTATCTGGAAAAGGCAGACCTCTTATTGCTTTTATTTTTTCACATGGGTCCCTCAGTTTTTGACCAAAGTGAAATTTAGGACTAATACCTATTTTTCTTGAGGGCACAGAAATTTAGCAAATATGGTATAAACAGCAAAGTATTTAGTACCTTTCACTTGCAGATACAGAAATCTTATTTAAATACTAATGAAGAACATCAATAGCTTCCATAAATAGGGTAGTCATAATATCCCCTCTGCACAAGCACACAAACACAGACATGAAGACTCTAATGGCTAGCAAGTTAGCCCTTGCTTTCTGTCATACTGTATGGCTGTTTGTACACTGTGTAAACTGTGATGCTCTCTGATAGGAAAAATATATTAAAAAACCTGAAAATCATACACACAGAGGATGAATAGATTCTCTTTTCTACTGAGGCAATAACTATGTCCTGGAAATGGCAAAGATCTGGGGTTTGGTTTGACTGTTATGAAAGATGTGCATTCCTTGTATTTTTGTACTTCCAAACAAAAGATCTTCACTTAGACTTGACTTGGACCTTTTCAACGAGGTATTTGTTCAGACAGAAAAAGGCAAAATGTCAGGGAGAAGGGCTAGGAGATGCGAAGTGCAAGTCTGCTTAAGAAGACATCATGGGTTGTAAGTGAAGTAGCTCAGGGAGGCTGGGGAGAAAGTACACAGGGACATAGAAGGACTGTGGTGAGGGTCACTCTCTGCACAATAATTTAACCCATGATATGCAAAGAGGCTGCAACTATGAAACTCAGCTAGCTAAAGTAGCATGACAACTGTTTACAGTAGAATGGCTTTAAGGAGGTGATGAGGTACCCAACAGGAATATTAGAAGTGAGGCAAAATATTGCACAAATTCCTGTCCACATATCTGAGAGCTACTACTCCATAATGTGTTGCTCCTGTCATTTTATATCACAGGTGTCTGAGACAGGAGCCAAATTACGTGCACACACTGCAAAAGCAGAAGTAAATTACAGCCCAAAGCCCTTATCATCAAAAAAGGGCAAGACAAAGTTGGAAAAAAACCCCCAGTATTCGTACTTTCTGTATAGGGAAAACAGCAAGGAGGAATTCTATACAAATGCAGTCTCTACATAGTGCCCCATAGAGACAGCCTTTCAAATGAATGTTTTAAAATTCCAACATTTCTGAGCTGTTGCTTGAACCACTTGAGAGGGGACGCATTTTTAATCTAGTTGTTTTTTTGTTTTGGTTTTTTTTAGATTACTAGAGAATATTTTTATAATAAGTAAAATGGGAAAAGAATGTTTGGTATTCTGTTGCTTTTTCTATTTTTTACTATTTTCTATTTACAGTTTAATTGTGAATTATTTCAGACCTGAAACTGTGTATCAGTTGATTTTTCCCATGCGCAGGATAATATTCATGTGACAGAGAGCGATGCGACAGACATTCCTTCAAGCCTGTTCTCTTTGGTAAAGCTTTCATGTGAGAATCTGCTTATATTTGCAATTGTCTGATGTCTAAAAATAGAATTATTCAACATTCCCTAGTAGTTGGCTCTGACCTCTTGTTTGCTTGTTTTCTAGGTTACACGTGAACACTTGACAGATTTCCAGCTATGTTGTGCCACCCCGTGTAAGAGATGGGAAATTGCACAACTTTGCTGACCATCATGACACGAGTTTGGCATTACTGTTCTGCAGATGACATTTGAGCATTTTGAAGACAGTTTTGAGTTTATCACCAACTGAAGCACATTTAGAAAAGTATTAGAAGTATTTACTATAAGACTGATTTTTTTTCTTGAAACATTAACTTGCTGGAGAACTTTCAACCTTTTGCCTTAATAAATAAGTCATGGTGGCCCTTTATTTATGCCTGCTTTGATGAAAGATAAGGAAGATTATCTATTGGGTAATAAAATTATTACCTACAGCATAATTTAATCTCATTTTCTACTTTTTCTAAACCAGAATAGAACAGTCCTGATTCAAAATCTGTACTGCGATACCTTGTTTGATGGTAAAGTTAACCCTAAATTGGATGATAAAATTGGGGGTGTTTAGGCATAAAACGAATAGGTAAGTTTTGATCCCTGTTAACTGAGCAGCCCATACAAGGGAACTTCTCTTTTCTGTAGTGCAATGTCCCCCTCAAGGAATCACAGACACCCTTGATCTTTAGAGCTCAGTTACACCCAGCTCATTCTGGACTAATTCCAACTGTTCAGAGATACTCTGAGAATCAGCAGGCTGAGATCTCTTACCATTCAGTCTTCAATACCTAGGCAAGTACCTTACCAACTGATCACAAAAGTATCATAATCAGATCTTCACTATTAAAAGCTGGGGTACTACAGGCATAGGATGTTCCAGACTAAGTACACTAGTTAACAGAAAGTTTGGTATGCAGCTGGGAGCAGATGGAAAAACATAATGTCCTTAAGCATGGAGTGTTTGGTCATCTGTGGCATTCTTACTTCCACAGACAAAAAATGGTGACATAACAAAGGTGGCAGGACACAGTATTTTTTTCCTCTTCACTGCTTCTGCTCGCTGTTTTACTGTATTTCTCCTACCAGTAGTTACACACCCTTTCTATATACTTAATCTAGCTCTTGCTTTACATTTCTAACTATCATCTGATAAACTTATGTTACAATAACGCCTAAAGGCCTCAGGCTGTTTGCTGTGCATGATGCTAATTCTTTATAACTAGATTTTCAATGCTGTAATTAATTTACCTTGATAATTGCTTCTTTTCCTGTTATTTGTAGATTTTATCTTTGCTGTTTGGGGGTGCCTGTGCTTCCTGTTCTTCTCTAGTGGTATTTTAATTTCTGATGTTTTCCTGCATTCATTTTGTGCCCCCTTATCTCACTTCTCCACATCTGTCACATGTATTCCAAGTTCCTTCAGTACCCTGTAATAAAACAAACTTTGTTGCTATTGTTGCATCGTTTACCTTTGGGCAAAAGATCAGCTGCGAGTGATTAGCTGTGATCAAGTTAGCAGCTGTATGTTATAACCACGTGTTAGTGGCAAGTTCGAAACCTCAGCAAAAACTTTCCTTCCATCTTGATTTCCTCCTCCTAGTAACGTTGACTACCATTACCAGTTTTAAGTATGTGAAAAAGATGAAAATGAGATTTACCTAACTTCCTTTGCTTCTGTTGTTCATATGTAGTATCACGGCATTATATCGTATCACTGAATACTGGTATTATCTGTCCTCTTTTTCCTCATGGAGAAGGTTCCGCTCTTGTTTCTGACATCGATCTCGTACTTCCCTGAGCACCTGAAGAATCACAGCACACTGGCCTAGCACGCAGAACTCTGTGACCGGACTCTCTACTTTCCATTCAGTGTCGCGTTTATCGCCGCCCGGGACTCTGCCCTCTAACATTCTCGCGACAAGCGGCCGTCCCGGCGGGGGAGGGAGATCGGTGTCCAGGGACACCGGCGGCGCCGGTCGTTACCTCTCCCCGAGCGCTGCCCGGGCCAGGCTCCCCGCCCCGGGGACGAGCGGGACCGCCGCCCTTCCCGCCGCCGCCTTCGCCTCAGAGCGGCGCGAGCCTCGCCTCAACACGGCGCGAGCCCCGTCCCGCGCGCCTGCGAGGAGGGAGTGCGCACGCGCCCGCTGCCCGGCGCGAGGGCTGGCAGCAGCGTCGTTCTGCGCACGTGCGTGAGCACTGCCCGCCCCCCCCGCGGAGGGGGGCGGTCACGTGAGTCTGGCGGCGTATGCGCTTCCGGGTGAGCCGGGGCGCGCGGCGGAGCGGGCCGTTTCCGCGGCGGCGGCGCGGGCGAGGCCGCGGCCCGTCCCGTTCCCTCCCCCCGCTCCGTCCGTCTCCCGCCAGGTACGGCCGCGCGGGGGGCGGTAGCGGCCAGCCGTGGCCGCGGGCGGGTTGTGCGGGCGCAGGGCGGGGCCGCGGGCCATCGGGCGCTGGGGCCCAGTCAGGAGCCTACGGAGGCCGTACTGGGGCCTGAGAGCCGCTGCCAGGCCGCGCCGGTGACGGGCCCGGCGGGCGCAGGGGGACGGTGAGCGGGGAACAGCCTGGGCCGCCCCGCTTGGGGCTGCGGCCCCGCTCGGCCCATCTGGGCGCTTCCTCCGCCGGTCTCGCCCTGCCCCGCCTCTGGTGGGCGCTGGGAGCGGCGGAGGGAAGAGTTGGGAGCGCGTAGATGTTATACTTAAACATCTTTCCCCTGCCCCGCTGGGGTCGTCGCATCAGGGTGGTGTAAACCTCAGCCTTGTTTTCACTTCTGAGGCTGAGATTTGTCTGCAGTTATGCACGCTCTTTCCCCCCTTTTCTCTCCTGTGGCTCAGTGATGAGTGGGATGTGTCGGTGGAATAACCATTTCCCTATGTAGGTTTAGCAAATGCACGGCATAGAGCTATGTTGCAGAAGTTCGAGTTGCTTTCTAGTGCCTTTAATTTTAGTTCTACCTGATTTCTAGCTGCTAATGTAATAGACTGAGTAGTATTCGAGTATTTCTGGATAACTTGTATGCATATTTCAGTCTTATGAAGGAGTATTGATTGTGTTTAGGCAAGGTATAAATTCTTTTTGACTGTTGCCTGACAAGTTAGTATTTACCTTTAAATGAATCTGTGATTCTGAAATGCAGATTCTTCCGTTGCTATGCATACGGAGTCTCAAGTAGTGTTCTTGGAGATGAAAGGCAGAGTGCCTTCAAAAGTCTTCTCTCTTAGCTGACTGATTTCTCTGTACTTTGATGCTGAAAGAAGAGAGTAAAAGGAGATGTAGAATTAGCTTGTTATTAATTAAAGTTTTTGCCTCACTTTGGAAACTTGCAGTGATAAAATTTGGCTGTCTGTCTTCAGATTTGGGAAATGTTTTCTGGGGTTATGGCTAGTGTGGCCACATTCTAAAAGCCAATGAGGTTATGAAAACATTTAGAAATTATAGTAAGCTGCACCAAGTGGATGTGTGTAGCAGAAAATATATATGATCCTTACTTTTGGTTTGCTGTAAAATCAAACATGAAAAGTACTCTTAGAGGCACATCTTTAATTCCTGGAACTTGGAATTCACTTAACTAATGTGCAGTTAATGTTTCTGTTGAAATGGTGAAGACAGAAAGTAGAAAAAGGTAGAGGTTTTTTGAAGTTATTTCAACTGTCTAAGACTGGAACAGTTTGCTATTCTTTGCTAATCATGTCTATAGTTCAATAGTGTGCTCATCATTGCAATTGTCTTGCAAAATAAACTTTGTACTTTCTTTATTTCGAGTGCTGAGTTGCTGATCAAGGGCTGAAAATAGGGCTTTGTGTTGGATGGGCAGATATGACCATATAAATGCATGAGTCTTATTTGTGCATTCTTCTGAGAACCCAAGGTTGAAAATGTAAAAAGTAATGTTTGCAAGGGGTCTTTATCTTCATGAGTCAAACGATCTCATGCATTCTGATGTCTTTTTTTCTTTTTTGAAGTATCTGGGACAGATTAGAGTCTGAGTTTAGGTGTAAACTAGACTTTAAAAAACATCAGTTTATAATAGGCTTCTGAATTCTGTTGTATTTAATATTCCAGCATCTACCAACTAAACCAGCTTGGTATTAATGAGAGAACTCTGTGAATTATCTATTTTTTCCAGGAAAATGGATAGTCTTTTCTCAGGAAAAGTAATATTCTTCAGATGTGAACTTAAGCAAGTTTAACCTGGTGTTCTGGAAATGGAAATCAGTTCGTTAGTTGTAGTGGAAGAGTATTAGGGGGGGTATTAGTGACATGTCCCCTTACAATATTGCAAAAAGAACAAAGGTATGACAACTTGCTTGTTGAGATACTTAAAAGTATAAAGAGCGTTGTTGAGCACCAAAGTCCAGTGGTTCCAGTAAGAGAGGAGAACCACATGGCAATCCTGCATCTGGATGTTTTTTGATGTGTTGAAATTTCTGACCTTTAGATAGCGTCCAATCTCCCAATTCCATTTCTTTGAGTAAAATGGAAGATAATGAGCAATGGGGGGTAAAAATGATCAGGCTTGCTGTTCTCAGAAAACATAACTTTTTGAGCTGGCCTTGAAGAGTGCTAGGATCAGGTAGAAATTAATTGCTTCTGTTTCTTCTATGTGCCTAATAAATACTTGCATTATTACAATATATTACATTTTTCAAGTTAAGCTTTTACGTCTTTGATTTACAGCTGAATTAAAGAGACTTTGGCATAGTAAAAACAGAAGATGTCAGCACAACTACAGCAGCTGTAGGAATACTATTCTAAACTCTGCTTTAATTCATATAAGCAGAAACAGATTCCCCCCAGCTTTGTAAGCATTTATATTACTGATGTAAAATTATTTAGTAGTTACCTTTAAAGTCAGCACTATTTCTAATTCTCCTGAGAAGATTACCCTTCCTCCTTAATTTCTCATTCTTCTAGTTGACAAATGATAGTGCTTTTGTATGTGAGACTTTAAGTCAAAACCTCCAAAACAACTACTTAGTCTGCATATTAAGTAGGGTGCTGAAAACCTAAATTCAAGCTTATCTGATGTTGAGCGTGGAACGCGCCTTGTAAGTTGTTCGCAATTGTACTGTGCGGTATTTAGTGAATGACTGCTTTCAAATCTACCCTAGTAAGTTCCTGATAAGGATTCTGTAAAAAATGTGAGAAGTATTTTGTAAAAGTGCCTTAAACTTTGATTACAGCATGAGTAACTTTTAAACCGTGCCTGTCTTAGTGTATCAGGTTTATCTCAGTGCTACAAAATGCATGCAGGTCAGAATTGCTGTTCTACATTTGAAATTAATAGCTGTTACTTGGTGTTTGATATTTTTCAAAAGCGTGATGAGAACACTGTTCAAATCTTAGAGCAAAACCCTGCTTTAAACTGTCTTGTGAGAACTGTCTTGTGAATGCAGTGCAGGAGAGCTGACAAGTAGCATCTTATAGCCACCAGCGCAGTGATAGCGTTGGTTTGTGGTGGTGCTATTTTTTTGGGGTGGTTTTATTTTTATGTTATCAGTTTAGATTTTGTTATAGGTTTAGTGTCTGTTTGCAGTGAACTGCGCATTTGCATCGGGTGGTCTGTTCCATACTGCTTCTCTTGACTGCGTGTAGGGTCCCTTGTGAAAGCTCTCGTGCTTCATCTCAGTGTTCTGAAACAGATGCATAAAGAATTCTGCCCATATTCACTGTTACTATTGATCACAATATGATCTTATCTCCAAACAAAGATTTAAAATTCCTTGTTGCAAGTGGTCGGCTGGTTAGTACTCGGGAGAGACTGTATGCTGAGAATATCAACATCTTAATGAGAGGATGCGTTTCATGAGGAAAGTCATATGATTCAAGCGGCAAATAACTACCCTGAAGAGCATATTAGTCAAAAAGGACAAATAGAGGGGAGAGCTGGGAGGGACAATTCCTGGGGGCAACTTCTTGGAGATTTTGTGCACAGGCACATACTGCCAGCAGCTGAGTGGTGCAGGGACTGAGTGATTCAAACAAGGAATCTGATTCTCTCAAGAGGAAGCAGGTTGCTACCTTTTAGAAATTTTATTTCTATTTCCTGGATGAGGGAAGCAGGGAGATATCAGTAAAATAAGTTTAAATTTTGGTCATTAGTGTTTAATTTGTCTCTGGTACTGCAGTTTCACAAAAAAAATCAGTCTTTTAAATTTTTTTGATTAATCATCATGTGTAGTGTAGCTTTAAGCATTGCAGGACACTTTAAAATCAGTCTGTGGTTGTAATCAGGTCAGGAGAAGAGAAACTGAGATTTGACATGAAAGGTGATCCTGCAGAACAGTAAGTGTAACTTGTTTCTTTTTAGCCACATAAGCCAGAAAAACAATTTATTTTTTGATTAACAGTATGATTGCATTCACAGGTGTTCCGTATTCTTTGCATTTAAAAATATCATTCAGTTCCCTGTCTCAATTAGTGTTGATTTTCTTAACTTCTTCATTGATAAGTTTACATGTTTTCCTGCCACTCTTTAGAACCAACGCAACCAAGAGCTTCAACTGGCTTGGACTTGTATGTCGGCAGAATGGTTTATTATGTTGCATTACTGAGGATTCCTTGTTGCTGGTGATGGGTGAGCCTGAAAAAACGCGGCGTGACTTGCACATCACAGGGTGAGTTCTCTGAAAACACTTTCTGAAATGGTCATCTTCAAAGTGTTTGGTTTTTTAAGAACTGGGTTGTGTTTTAGATCTAATCATCCGGGGTGGTTCTCAAAATACGCACTTGCTTGATATCTCCTGTAGAATCTAGAGAGTTATCGGTTTTCCTACAGTTTGGAGTGAACTTTTAGGTTGTAATCCTAAATGATAGATCAGGTTGCTCAGGGCCTCGATTTTAACTGGGAGGTTGATCCTGCTTTAGCAGGGCATTGGACTACATGAGATCCCTTCCAACCTAAATTATTGTATGATAAACCATTCCACAAGCAGTTTTGTATGAAAAGGAAAAAAAAGAAGGGAAACAACCCATAATTTTTCCCCTGTTTTTTTGGTTTGTTTTGTTTTAATTTCTTTTCTGTTCTTATCACCTCAACTTGGTGATAAGTGAAGGATGTGTTGCAAGTATGGGAAGTATAATAGTATTGGACTAACATCTTCTGCTGTGTTCCTGCAGCTCTTCTTTAGCCCACTGTCCTGAAGACAAGAGGGTTCTGGCTGATTAGGAGTCTCTATTAGCAATTCAAGTTGGCTGGAGAATGGAAGGTGTTGAGTTTAAGGAAGAATGGCAAGATGAAGATTTTCCAAGGTTTTTATTTTTATTTTTTTAAAAGGAATTCAAATCAAATGCATAACACCCAGAATAAGCTACCTCTTTATCTTCCTGGTGAACTATCACTCAATAATAATGTTGAAGTGATTTCCCTTAAGATAGTAGCCTTGAACAGGTTTTGTGGCATATATCTTTATGGTCTGTAAAGAGAGCACTTTGTGTTGATCTGTAAGTTAAGTAATACAGGAATGCCACTCTTGAACTTTCCAGAGATAATAAAGTGAAAATTTCTGGTAATCTTTTGCAACTACATTGTTTGCATATTATTGCCAGTGTCCAAAGGCCCAAATATTTCATTAAGCAACATTTCTGAGCAAAGTTTTCAGTAGTTAGGACTGCTAGTGATGCTTGGGCCTGCAAAGAAACTAAAACAGCTGACTTCAGAGGCATTATATAATACATGACTAAACTACTTCTGCAATGTATTTAATGTCTCAAATTTTCTCAAGCAAGAATACGACAGGTTTTCTTAAGGATGACACATGCTGTAAAGGAATTTTCTGCTACTTTGATGCTGTGTTTACTGAAAGCTTGAACTTAGGCTATAAGTAGATTTAGTTCAGTACTATCCCACATTGTTGTTTGGTTGTTTGTTGGTTTTTTTTTAGCAGTGCATAGGCCTAAATATTTGGTATTTAGCTGGCTATTTTAAAAAGGAAAAAAAAAAAAAGGTTTGTAACAATTGTTTCCACTTTGTGTGCCAGGCCCCTGCCAGAGGATGATCCTGTTGAGTCAGATATATTGGCTGCAGCTGGAACAGAAGCTGAAGCTGGTAAGAACATTCCACTCCAGTCAAGCTGACTGCTTCCTACTTAGATGGCTGTTTTAAAGCTCCATTTTGCTTTAGGGTGGTTTTTGGTGGCTTTTTTTTAATCTGGGGTGTTTTGTTTGAGGAAACAGAATTCTAAATGACATTTTTGTGTGTGAAGGGTATTGTAAACATCTTGTTTAGAAAGAAAAGGGTTTTGGAATAAAATGTGAGACAGTTCATTCTCCCTGTGAACAGAGCTATCTGGGTAATACTAAAATAATAAATCAGTAATAATAAATTAATTATTGCACTCGCTTCCTGACATCTTAAAATTTTGGTTCATTATTTGGCTTCTGTGCATCAGTTAGGGCCCACCTTAGTTTCACTCCAAATTTCCGACCTTTGTGGCTGTTTAAGAATGTTGTCTGTCTGAATGGTCAGAGGGGAAGTAATACTGGGGTCTTTTTACATTTTTAAATTTTTTTGATCTTGTGTGTCTGCTTTCATTGTGGTATAACTAGTGCTGGATCAGTCATTTTATTTGCTGCTTTCAACTGCTGTCTAAATCACACAAGTATTTGTGTTGTGTCTCAAAGTGTGCTGTGTATTCACCTAATAGTTTCTTCAATTTTCTGGCCTCACTTTTCTGTCCTACTCTGTCAGTCTTTTTTTTTTTTTTTCAGCTTGTATATTCATTTTTATTTCTTCAAAGATGGTTATGATGTTACCAATACCTAACAAGGTGTAGGGACGTGAATCTATTGGATTATTTGCAGGATTTATTTAGTACAATATCTAGAACAACTTGTGGTACAAATTGATATAGCCAGCATGACTTATAGTTTCTTAGGTGGCGGCAGCGCTTCAGGTTTTTCTTCTGTAGGGAGTATGGTGGTCTGCCACTGTTGTCATCGTGTGTATGCAATCAGGTGAATTTAGAGCCTTGAGGACTTCAGAACTTTGACCTCCAAGTGCTGATCTTTTCACCCTGTGTTTAATTCTTATTCCAGATACATTATTTGGATTATGGTTATTAATTTACAATACGTTCCGAGGAAGTACTGAGCTCTTCTGTCTTGTTAATATGCTTATCTAAACTTTCTCTAGCTTTGAAAATAAATAATTTGCTTTTTTAAATACAGAGGTTAATGGAACCAAAGCGAGGAAGAAACTAACGGCTCCAGATATTAGCTTAACTTTGGATCACAGTGGGGAGTCTGTTTTGTCTGATGACTTGGATGAGAGTGGAGAGATCGATTTGGACAATTTAGACACTCCTTCAGAAAATAGCAATGAGTTTGAATGGGAAGGTATGTATATAGTTACTTTTTTCTGGTGCCCTAACAAATTTATATTTTCTTATGTGCAGGTCGATAGCTTTTCAGGTGGGAGATAACTACGACTCAATATTACAAGATGGAAAATACAAGGAGATTAATTAGATTAGAAATAGGCGCAAATCAGCTCGACTGATTAGTAAGCAGAGAGCATAATAGCTGTAAATCCAAATAAACTTAGGTGAATGTCATTAAATGCCTGTAAGACTCGAAATCCTCTGAAAAATCCTCTCTGTTGCAGTACTTTTTTGAGAACCAACCTGGGGAAAAAATATCAAAGGTGTTTTACATATATTATCAGCTTTAAATGGAGGTGAACCATATAAAGGGATATAGATTAATCGATTTCTGACTAGCTAATTTATAATTGCAAGCCTTTGTACTTAAAGAGCACTGAATGATATTTTTTTTAAATATGGAGTAACACCTGATCTCATATCTTACTGTGGTGAGAATGGCAAATGGTCAGTAGCCTAACAGTTTGCATGCTTTCCGCGTTGACTGGAAGTGGTGGAAGAGCCTCTATTTTGTGTCGGGGAGTTCTGAAATTGCTTGATAGGAAGTTAACTTAGCTATTGCCACACTAGTAATGGTCTTAACTGTTGAATAGAGGTTTCATCTTACTCTTATAGGCAAAACCTGGAGATTCTAAGAAATCTTGAGGTAAAAAGTTCTCTGTAGGAGTTAAAGCTGAAGTTTTAAACCTGCAGTTTAATTATGCTTAAAGTCCCTTTTATGTAAGCCAAGAACTGTTATTGTTGTGTCAAACAGTTGGAAGTCTAACTTCTGTAAACTTCCTGACTTAAGAATGTTTCTAAAAAGTAAAAATGTAAACTCAATTTTTTTTCTTATTTATTCTGGAAATAAAATAATTCCTGAGTAAACAGGGAGCTCTCTTTTCACTGTTATGTATGAAACACTACCTGTTCTTCGTTCTGTGTTGGCTTATAAATGGAGAAAGAAACACACTTTAGAATAAGGGTTTGGGTTTTTTGAAGTAGCTAAAGACATACTGCAGGTAAAGGTTTTATAACAGAGACTGTGGGTTTACCTGTGTAAAAGGATTTTCATCATTTTAGTGAAGAAGAATTGGTATGTAGGGTTAGTTTTGCAATAATGTGAAGGAAATGTTCCGGGTGTTTGTGCCTTGTTTTTAAAAATGGCTGAAAAGGGTTTCTGTCTTTTCTTCCTTTAATGCTGCTGCCTTCATTTTCCTGGAAGGATAGTTTCAATTAACAGCTTTGTCTTGGGAACAGACAACTAACTTGCAGTAGGTTTTTCTCGCTTTGGGTAAGGTCTATGCAACAAAGTCAAGAATCGTAATTTAATTGGAGCAAATTGTTTTACAGATTGCTGTCAGCACAAATTTCATATGTATTGATTGCACACACATGAATTAGATTTAATTTCTAATAGATTTGCCTGCATGCCTGCTTGCGAGGTACTGTCAATGTTTTAAATCATGCTTTTATGTAAATCTGTGATCAAGCAACCTGTGTAATTATCATTGGAGTTAACCACTTTGTCTATTTTGGTGAGAATCATCACAATCTGTGCTTTGAAAGCCTGTAATTAAATAGGCTTCCTACATAAATGGAAATTTGTGATATACTTTAACATAGAATATTATATTCAGTGGATAACTGCCAACACAGTATTTTGATAAAATATATGACACCTATGAGATCGTATTTTGTAATGACTAAAGGATCTAAGTCAGCTGATATATTTGGCTAAAGAATATTAAAATAGATTAAATAGCAAAGTGGTTAACCTGTGTTTTAATTGATTATCACTGTACATAGTATTCATAATGGATCTTGAACGTGTTTTAACTTTGGCAGATGATCTTCCAAAACCAAAAACTACTGATGTAATTAGGAAAGGATCACTTACTGAATACACTGCAGCAGAGGAGAAAGATAATGATCGACGCTGGCGAATGTTTAGGATTGGAGAACAGGACCATAGGGTGGACATGAAGGCAATTGAACCCTATAAAAAAGTGATCAGTCATGGTGGTAAGAATTGGTGATGTGCTGAGAACTGTTGAGACACTACTTCTTTAAGCTGAGTTGGGGTGACCCAGGAAGAGCTTTTGCATAAAGACTTATGAGATGATTCATTGTTGCAGTATTAAGGCATATGGTTGATTTAATATTTTTTCCCTGTTAAACTAAAGTTCCAAAATATATCTCAGTAGCTTCACTGAAACGTGTACACATATGTAATAAGATGTACTTATCTGTTCTACAGTGCCAGTACTATAATTTTTTTGTTTTAAGGGTGTTAAAAGCATGAACTGTAGATCTACTAAAGCATAAATGAATTGAATGACTTTTCCCGACAGTCTGTGGAGTGTAGGTTGGAAGAAAAGTAAACTGTAGAAAATGTTATTAAATATGCTTAGATTCTACACTGAAATGTTGTAGGTACATACAGCATTTGATTTGCAGCAACTTCAGCTATTTCTTTAGAAGTAGACAAACTTGAAAACAAAATCCTACAGTTTTCTGTAACTGTATGAATCCCTATAGAATAGATATTTATAAAACTCTTCAAGGTAAATAATGAAAAAGCTTACTGAATGTGCTTGACTTTGTGTACATGTAGTCAATGTATAGTCACCTTTGTCGCTACTCCTGCTTTTTTCTTTGTTTTTAGGTTATTATGGTGACGGGTTAAATGCCATTGTTGTGTTTGCTGTTTGCTTTATGCCTGAAAGCAGCCAGCCTAACTACAGATACCTAATGGACAATCTATTTAAGTAAGTCGTTATCTGCTTCTGAACACTGTCTTAATTTCCCATTGTGAAACTTAGTGTCTTAATGTAAGGGCAATTGCTCCTCTCTTTTTTTTTTTATGAAGCTTTTTATGTTTCAGGTGAGGGAAAGATAATAAATAGGAAAGCAAGTACATCCGCATCCAGGCGAAGGAAAAAAACGTTTGCTCAACACTGTTGCCAAGTCTATATTTTTAAATATATTTGAGCACTGCTAGGAATTACTTTAATATCCACAGATCTTCACTTGAAAGTTTTTTTTGCTTGTCTCTGCAGGTATGTAATTGGCACTTTAGAGCTGTTAGTAGCAGAGAACTATATGATAGTTTACCTGAATGGTGCAACAACACGGAGAAAAATGCCAAGTTTAGGCTGGCTTAGGAAATGTTACCAGCAAATTGATAGAAGGTAAGAAGCTCTGCACTGTTTTCTTACAATATTCACTTGCTCAGTGATATGTGTGTTTAGGAAAAACTGCTGTTTAATGTGTTGTCTGGTATCTACTGGTTAAGATTTAATTAGGCAATTTACTTGGAGTATTGAAAACCTCTTCCTAAGCTAGACAAAGTGAAGCAATGCTCTAGGTATGCCTGGGGTTTTTGTTGCCTTTTTTAAGTGAAAATAGTAGTGTGAGAATATTGACTGTTACTGCGTAGACTGTCCTTAAAACTTCATGTATTAATATGATAAGGTAATAAGCAGGGTCCTTTATGAACCACTTCATCATGTTATTTCCTTGTCAATGTTGTCACACGGATACTCCATCTTAACTTTTGACTGTGGAGTTGTGTGGGTTTTTTTTAATTCTGGCGGATGGTAATTTCTAATAATGCAACATCAGAATATTAGGTTTATGTGACAGCTGTGCTTGCAAAACCAGACTTTCTATACATGAAAAAAAACCCTTGTCATGCTGCCTTTTTGTTCTAGTAATTATGTCCACTGTTTGAATTCTTTAGGTTAAGGAAAAATCTGAAATCATTAATCATAGTTCATCCTTCTTGGTTCATCAGAACACTTCTGGCCATCACAAAACCTTTTATTAGGTAATACTCCAGAGGTTATTCATTTTTTCTTTTTTTTTTTTTTTTTTAATAATCCTAAAACCTGTTTACTTTAAACTTCAAAAACTGTTTTAATATTGAGTTACTGAAAAAAATTAAGTTGTAACTGTACCCTGCATTTGTTCTTCCACAGCTCAAAATTCAGCCAAAAAATTAGGTATGTCTTTACCCTGGCAGAACTAGCTGAACTCATCCCCATGGAATACGTTGGCATCCCAGAATGCATAAAACAGTACGTTTTATTATTCAAACATGTTCTACACTGATCATGTTTTAGAACTGGTATATATTGTATTCAGTGATTGGTTTGAATGTAATTTGCATTTAATAAAATTTAACTAAACTTGGATCATTGCTATCTCTAGGAAGAATATCCATGTTCATGTTTGATAACATTGCTAACTACAGCTTGGTTTGCAGTAGCTTGGATAGTCAAAATGTTAATGTATAGGGATTTTCACAGATAGTGCTTACGTAATTACCGTGTTGCGGTGTGTGAATTAGTCTTCTAGAGAAAAGGCATCATTACAGTTGATCTACCCCTTAGTAAACTAAACTGGCTTGTGAGTGAGAAATTCTGGGCATGTTAATACTGAAAGTTACTTATAGTATCTTCAGTGTTCATGCTAAAATGTGCATCTAGTTGAGTGGTGAAATATCACTTGGGTTGGGATGTCATTTAAAAGTACTGCAGTGGAAAATTGCTAAATCCCTACCCATAATAGTTCTAAAGGTACTTTGGTGAGATGTGAAGGCAGCATCAATGTCCTCGTTTTCTCCTCTTCCTCCCCTCCAGATATAAATACCAACTTTAATGTCAGCACAACTCTGCTCTCAAATATGATGGTGATATTTTTGTGAATAGCATTTGTGGGTGCAGCAATAGAGTAGAAACCATAAACTTGGGTCTTAAAAAATGCGGGTGAAAATACTAACAATTCTGATGATAAACTGATCAGCCTATTAGAGGGTATAACATACAAAACCTATAGAGTATGCATCACAGTATGGGATCACACGCTGGGAACCCCATGCGGAAAGATGGCAAAGTCTCACAGTGTGGGCAGAAGGGCACATCTGTGTTGGAAAATCCACAGATCTCTCCCCGCTGCAAATAGCTGGTTATTGCAGTAAACATTCAGCTGGTATCAATTGCACAATTTAACTTTTTATGAAATAGAGAAAACACAGTTTTCTTGGGATGGGGAGGAAGGACATAACAATGCTTAAGCAGCCTTGTGCTATTTTTATAATATTTTTTTTAAATGGAGCTTTTGAAAGATATGTTATGAATATTCAGATTGTCATCACAAGTCTTGAAAGACTCCCTTCTGTATTGATGAACCTTTAAGTGCTTTGCAAAGGTTGAAATTGGTTGACTTATCTGGCTTCAAACTGTTATCAATACAAACTTCAAATTTTAGTGATAGATGTTAATACTGTACAAGAAGTTGTATTGAATTCATATGTTATGTCATAGTAACTAAATCTTAAAGTTTCTTGTTTAATGCTTATAAATGTTGGACATTTTTTTCTTAATTGCATCAGCTTCAAAACTTGGTATGTTTCTACAAACTGTATTGACACTAATACCAGTTTGCAGCTTCTGTTGAATTTGGCCTTCATATATTATATTTACTGAAATCAAACTTTTCCTCACCAAGGTATGAAGAAGAAAAGTTTAGAAAGAAACAGAAAAGGTATATTCATATTTTGATTAGGGCTGCATCTAGATAAGACAATTTGCACTGCAACTAACTCCCAGTTGATTGGCTTGCATAAAGGAATAAGCATTTGTAAATATAAACATGCACTAGTCACCAAGTTTTTATGCATTAAGGTAACTATACTGTCTGCAAGTACATCTATACAGTATCACCTAAAGGAACTCGCCCTGGATGTTCAAACAGATACTTGTGAATAGTCTCTGTTACTCCATGAGATGCTCACTTGTAAGGGGATACATGGATTCTCAACTGAATCCTCAAGAGGCAACAGTAGTGCTTCTGTATGAATCGATTAAATCGAGTTTCACTGTATCTAACAAGAAATGGTACCTGAAGAAAGAGCTGTTTTTAGGTGCTAAGCTGTAGCTATGCATCAGCAGAGATGCAACTCTGGAAGAAGTTCTAATATTGAATCTTGTATTTTGTCTTTTTTGGTATTCACTACCTTTTTAGTTATTAACTTGCACAGATGCAATCTGAATTAGTATTTTTAGTGCTGTTTGTATTTGCAGTGCCTATGTTCCTTGCTAATAAACATTGGATTTTCTTTTTTTTTTTTTTTAATTTTCAGTCTCCTGCTAACAGTTCAAGCTATTCCAGCAGCTGCTGAAACTTTTTGAATGGATATGTTACTTTTTCACTTGTATCACTAACAAATGTACTGAAAGGTTTTGCTACTAACTACTTTTTTTTAATTACTCTTCCTGTGTGTACATAACTATTGAGGGAGTTTTATTGTCTAAATTGGGTAACGGACAGAGAGGAACACTGAGATATTAAAATAAAAAGGAATTTAAATTCTTTCTCAAATCTAGCAGATAGAGCTAGTGACAAATGTTGAACATTCTCTAGGAATTAAGTGATAATCTTGCAGTATGTAACCAGAAGTGCTAAGCCTGTCAAATTTAAGAAGGCTTTTCAGTACATATTGAACAACAGTTCTGCTTAATTTTCTTTTTTTTTTCTCTGGCATGCATAATTTGCCCCAATTCTATCACAAGGCCCATTGTATTCAGGATGCAAACCTGAGACATTCAAACAGGAATGCAAAAACTTCTTAAAATCTCCCATATAACAAGCACTTTTTAGTGTCCTTGCTGGTATCATCACATGCTACCATGACTTCTCCAAAAATTAGTATGTTCCTAAGTGAAACTCATGTATAGAGGAGAGATCGTGGGTACTATGTGATACTGAGATTTAATCAGGTTGAAAGCAGTTGTAGGAGTTATTTATTATAATAGGGGGAAAGGAGATGTGTTGAAGTGTAGTTTCTAAATTTGTTGAGGACGGCAGTAGGAGTTCTTTGGCTATGTGTATGAGTTACTGGAAGCTAGAATATGATACACTTCTATGGATTTATATTGTCAGCTGTATGTTTATGCATAGCTTGTTTGCATTAGCTTACCGTATTTTCTTACACTTTCTGTGATTAGTCCTGTAAGTCATGTCAAAACGTGCTTTTCTAAGATAGAGCAGTGAGGACAGGGGTGAGTTGCAGCTGCACACTCTGCAGGCGAACAGGTATTCGACTAGGACTGCTGCTTCTAGAGAGCACTGCTCCAGACCTACTGGATGCTTATGTACTAGGTTCAGTTCTTACTGCTGCAAAAAAACCCACACAAAACTTGCCTCCCTTTTCTTAGGAGTTCATGGCCTAGAAGAGCTGTCATTGTTTTTATCATTTTGACAAACTGGCTGGTTATAATTTGAGAGACTGGACAGGTAGTTTAGACAATTAGGTTGTTAGAAGACAAACTTGGCCTTAGTCTCTCTCAATTTGGAACCGCTCTTGGTTTTAAAAGTAGTTTATCTCCATGCAAAACTTATTTTCCTGAAGATACAGTTAAGACTGTAGCTTACTCTGACTATAAAGAGGAAAAGTCTGTCTCATGCAGGACTATCAACCATCCACTGGCTTGTGCAAAGGAACATTTTGTTTGCTAAGGCCTAAGGCAGATAATAAAAAAAAAAACAAAAAAAACAAACCAAAAAATCCTCAACGCACAATCAAAGCAAGCAGCAGTTGTAGCAGCGGGATAGTGAATTTTTCTTGGGCAATTACGAGAGTTTAGATCTTAATAGAAAAAGTATTGCAATTGAGGAGAAGCTGCTTAACTTTTGTTGATTCAACTAGTGCTGTTACCTTCTTGGGTTAACTACTGTAACATTAAAGGTGATTCTCTGCTTGTTCTGCAGTATTTGACTTCATCAAAATAGCAATGCTTGACGGTATTGTCATGTTACCTGTAAACTTGTATTCCTGCTTGCATTCATTAATAAAAGCACAGAACCTGCTTTTTTTCTTCTGTGCAAAAGCGCTTACAGTTTTCAAATGCTTCCTTTCAAATGCTATAGTTATTTAAATGGTTTCTTAACAATTTTAATTAATTTCTAGGGGGAGGTAGGAAAAAATTTATTTATTTTTTAAAAGCATTGCTGTGACTGCATTCAATAAAAATCTTAATTTAATATTTATTTACTAAAACTTTTTCCATGTAAAGGCTTAGTGTTTTCCTGTTAAGATTAATAGTTTTTGCTTAATATACAAGCTATCAAACTAAACTATTTCTTAATGTGGTTTTAATTTTACCGCTTTTTTTTGCTAAGCAGAGTTGACCAAGAGCTGAATGGAAAACAAGAGCAGAAAAGTGAACAGTAAGTGTGGAGTCCAAACAAGACTGAAGAATATGCAGATGGAACGATGCTGGTTTTGCTCCATTTACGATGCATTCTCTGTGCGTGTATATATTCTATAACCTGTTGCAAGAGGTGCTTAAGTTCATTGGACTAGCACGTGATGGACTGCTTACTGCTGTATTGGTTTGTCTTGACTTTAATAGCTATGTTTGTGTAATCATCATTTTATACTGCTAAATGTCAAAGAACCCTATGTTTTCAGAGGATGTTCTTGCAATTGTTTATCTAAATGATGCATGTTCTTCAGTAAAATATTTATATACCTAAATGTTAAAGGAAAGAGATAATATATATTTTTATGACTGAGCAATATATTCTGTGTACCTGCTGAAGGAATTCATTTGCAGGTAGACAAGGCCATAAGTTACTTGTTATTGTATAAACCTGTTTTGCTGTAAATGGTCAAGTGCATTTCTTTGTTGTCACAGAAGCCTTAATTTTTTTGGATATTAGCAATCGCATAATGTAGTCTTTCACAAGTGTGGAGTTCCTTATTTTGTTCACATACCTAATAGAAGCAGTACTCATTTACCTCACTAGAGTGAGCTTGAGCTTTGGTGTCTTAGAGTCTGTTTTTCAGAATGCAGAACTGCAGTTCTATGAACTTTGGTCTGTTGGCCAAAGGGTTTAAGCCTAAGCCACAATAGAAGCTGAACTGTTTCAATGACTAGTGAGAGATCAGACCTTTCTCCAGTTGTGAATTTAGATTCTGCTTCAGTAAATCAAGGAAATGAGTTCATTGCAGTTCTTCCTGGATCGATGTCGGTTGTTACTGGTAGGAATTCTGGTCATGCTCAGGAGAGCTTGGGAGTTGTATAGATATTCTAGTCATAATATCAATTGTTCACAGAGGTGTGGGGAGTATTATGCTACCTGTGTCATCCTTGTAAGTGAAACATCCATTTCTAAAGCTCTTAGTTTGGCACATGATACCAGCACTAATTTCACTTAACAGCAAAAATTATTTAAAGGTTGTGGTGGGGTTTTTTTATCCCAACAACGGTAGTAAACTTCTGTCTATAAGAGGTGCCCTTGGACACATAACTAGTGCTTAAAGGTTTATCAAGGCAAAAATAATTCACTGCTTGGTATGTTGTAAAAGTTTGTAACATCTTTTGATAATCATTGCTATTTCCCTGTAAGGACAGGTGCATGAAAATAAATCCATTCAGGAGTTGAGCAATATAATATCGGAACAAATAAGTTAAATCTTTGCTTTATTTTTATTGCGCTCACAATTTTGTCTTGATGCCAAAAATACCAGTTCTCAAATGTATTAAAAGTTAGTGTTATACAGATCTCTTATTAAAAAAAAACAAAAAAACAAAAAAACAAAACGGAAAAGGTTGCATTCAACCAGATTACTACCTGACATTGATAAATCGCAGTCGAGGGTGCTCCATGGTCAAGACTTACTACCAATTAACAATTAATCTACTGTCTCTAATGATACGTGTATAGACTCTGAGAGCATATTCTTGTCAGATGAGGGCAAATTGCCCATGTCTTGTCTCTGGGAGTTTAATTTTGCAATTCGAGACTTTCATCTCAAGATCTAGGTACTTTTGTTATAGTAGTTTCTGTATCACAGTTTCAAAGAGATAAATGTTCAGGATGTTCTCTTTCAGCAGACAGTGCTGATTTCAAGTTGCCTTGTATCCGTTTCATCAGGTTTGGATCTTGCTCTGAGAGCAGAACACAAACATGAAGCAGTTTCTTTGGGGCTGCTTCAGTTTTGATGTTGACGCAGGTTATTGTAAAGTTCCAGTCGGTAAATTGGCCACTTAGAGCCTTTCTACTTCTGATCCTTTACAGAGCACTGTGTATGAACATGCAAACCTGTAAACCTTTCTGATTTTTACTGACTCTGTGTGGGTCCTGAGCTGGATACTAAGCATTCTGATCATCTCATTTCAAATTTTTACTGATTTTAAAAAAGTATTCTTCTCAGTAAAATCATATTCTTAGTGGAAGGATTGCAGTTCTATATGTCTCGTTGCTTCCTGTGCATATAGTGCAGCATAGAGTAGCGGGTCCTCTGTATAGGCCATATTATCAAATGATGGGATTCTTACTGTTCTTCCTGGTGGCTGAGGGATTCTGCTGTTCCATGCTGCAGCACCTAACGGTTTATTTCTGTAGTATAAGTTTTTGTGAATGAATATACAGCACGACAGTCCTTCAGTCCCTAAAGATACGCAGCTTGAGAAACAGATGTACTAAAGAATGAGGCCCCTCTGACCTTTTACAGCTCATCATTTAATGGTGAGGTGGATGTTTACAAAAAGCAAAGAGGTCCCAAAGTTATCTTGAACACAAGTGGGTAACTTCTTGTTAGACTTACCTTTTTCTAAATCTATAAAATAACTTAATATATTATAGTATTTAAAAACATGAGAAGTTGGAAAGTCATACTTTAATAAAAGTTACTTCAAAACCTGAATCACTTTGTGATAAGATAGAGCATGTAGGGAATTCACCTTTCAATGGCACTTCCTTCTAAAAGTAAAGCTCATGTGGCTAGAATAGTTTGAGCCCTGTCAAGGAAGGATAATTACATGAGTCACCAATTTACCTTAGATTTGGAGGTCTCACCGGTCTTTTTATATATATACATACATATATATATATATATGTGGTAATAAACCATTAGGGATCTTTTGTTATTACTGTGTGCAACTGAAATAGAGATGTTTGGGCCAGTGGCCTCTCTTGTGTGTGGATGTGACATTTTGTCAGCTGGATTTCTACAGCAGGATAAGTGTTTAGAAGTGGCAAAGATATTTTGGAGAAAGTGTCATTAAAAACTGCTGTGAGCAGACTCTAGATGGCTTGAATGCTCCTGACGTTCTGTGTAGCGTGGCAAAGCCATGTTCTGTTGGAAAGGAACAGAGAGGGATGTATGAGGGTTTAGTGGTGAAGCAGATTGAAATCTTTGATGTTCTGGGATGTTAAAAAGGAGGATATTTTTTGTTCCAAAAGGCTTAGAACATGTTAGAATCATATGTAACCTTGTTCATAACAATGCAGTTTAGCATATTTTTCTCCTCTCTTTTCAGTGAACAAGTGAAGAATAGTACTTCTTACTGTGAGGAACTTTGTACTGAGAAACAGTAGTTATATTCTGAATTGCAGACAATTAGTTTATAGCCTGTGTCTGTTGGCATGTTTCAGCAGGTTTGTTGCATCACGCACTTTAATGCTCTAATGACAGCTTAAACCCTTTCAAAAGTTAATTTGTGCCAGACTTCCAGATGAGATTATATGTTGGTGGCAATGGAGTCTTTTATGAAATGATCTTGAAGTGTGTCATAGGGCGGAGAGGGCAGCTTTGGTGCCCTGTCAGATGTCGGCTTCACTGATGTCATCTACTGAAATGACTGTAGTTCACAGAAAATAATGGAACTGCATAGTTCAGTAAAGTGCCCGTTCACAAAGTCTGTCTCAAAGAAGTTTCTTGGTGAAAGTGTATTTCTTCCAGTGTCAAATTTGTGTCTGTGTATCCTATGGATTTATACAATATTTATTATGTAGAAAGATGGCATAAATGCATCTCTTATCAAACGCTGTTGTCTTTGGAGATGACTTTAATTCTCAAGTCATTCTGTTTTCCCTCAGAAAAGTCTCCTATGAGGAGCAGAGGGGAGAGGGATAATAGCTTGCCTGCTTCTTCTAACTGCAAAAGTCTTACAAAGCTTTCGGTGAAAATTCTTATTCAGTCCTTGTGGATGCAGGTCATTCTGGAGAGGATTTGTTTCACCGACTGGTTGTCAGAGACACTTGAATAAGTGCTTTAATGATACTTTTGAGGATACCTGGTTTTAGTCAGGGTAGCACTCTGAAATTTAAGGAATATTTAAATATTCATATTCTGAAAGACAGATTTTTCAGCTTTCCTAGCTTCAAAATTTTAAGTTGAAATACATCGTGTCCCTTATCACATCTTGTTCCCTGTATTGCACTAACAGGAAGAAGGGCAGTAGTGAAGAGGCTGCAGTCGTGTTACAGGTTTTCATCCTTCCCTTCAAGCACGACCAAGAGCAGTGAAATTAATTTTGCAAAGTGGACTGCCCAGATAACTGATTGAAACATACAGATGTTTTTTTTATTATTTTTTTTCAGTATTGAAAATGATCTGAGAGGAAGTTGCTGGAGTGTCTTCAAAAAGTCCTTATCTTACCATGCTCCTTACTGTAGCTTGCTCAGCTGCTAGTTAATATTTATGACATGGAATTCCAGGTTAACAATTAAAAAAAATATTTCTAGAAGACAGATGTTTATTTTCCCCATGGCTCTGCAGTGATTCTTATTCAGTCATCTGCATGAAGGCTTTTATTAAGAAGAGCTGGAGTAGTGGGGTGCTCTGCCAGTTCAGTGGTAGATAGAAGGGTCAGAGGTTGCTAATTAGGATCAGTAAATGTTAATATGTGTGATATGGGAAAGATGCAGTATTTAATAAAGTGAAGCTGCAGTAGTCACGTGAAAACTTAAGTTGTGAATCCTAGATGATACAACTGGTTTCAGTTGACTGTTCCTCTCAGATGTGACCGTTTTCCTTTGCCCCTTTGCCATAAAGTGATGTTAAGTACAAGACACTTCACCTACCTCTTCAGAATGTTATCATCCTTCCTTTTTAAATAAGCTTGTTTTCTGTTTGCATTCCACGGTGTCACCGAGTAATGTGATAAACACGTTTCTGAATGTGCTAGCTGTTAATATTTACGGGAAACTTTTTAATTGGGGAATGAAAAAATAAATGCTATATGCGATAAATACCTTTGGAAAAGGCCTGAATGTTTTGTTTTGCTGCTGAGGAGTACGCTGACAAGGGGAGAGTCTTTTGTGGTCGCAGGCACCGCCAGGAGAGCGCGTTTGGTTCTCGGAGCCCTGGCGGTGTCAAATCCAGCGCTTATTCCCGAGCTCCCGCGGACCCCCCGCCCGGGCCCGGGCTGGCAGCGGGGCCGCCCCGGGGGCGGGACCGGGACGTACCGGCGCCCTTCCGCTTCCGGGCCACCAGGGACCGGAAGGGCCCGACCTCTTCCGGCGGCGGCGAGCGGGTGAGGCCGGGGCCCGGAGGCGGCCGCCCCCAGCGGGGGACTCCGGGGCCGGGGCTGCCCGCGGCTGGGGGGCGGCGGCCGGTACCTTCCCCCGGGTTCGCTGGGGCCGGTGGAGCGGCGGGGCGCAAGGCCGCTCTGTCCCCAGCGCTCGCCGGCCGCTGCCGTGACGGGCTCCCGCGGGGGGGCGGTTTGGACGCCGAGCGGGCGGCGGCAGCATCGGTGCTTTGTGCTCCCGAGCCCTCCGTAGTGTCGGTCGGTGTTTGGGAGTGGTTCTGAAGTTCTCTTTGCTCTTGCTTGAATCGTACGTGAAGAGCTCTACTGTATTGTTTATATATATCTTATTTTTTCTTTCTTTTTGTTTTTTTTTTTTTTTCCCGAAGGAGAGCAGTGGGTGGTGAGCCATGGCCTATCAGCTGTACAGGAACACCACGCTGGGGAACAGTCTTCAGGAGAGTCTGGATGAGCTCATACAGGTGCCTGCGGGGCGTAGGGTCTGGGCAATTAGCTCAATAGAAAGAGCTTAGCCATTAAAACAGCCTTGTGGTTGCTGTATCAGGGTACTTTTTCACCAGCGTTTGGAAAACTTACTGATTGAAATCAAAAGCTATTGGTACCGCAGGTGGGAAGTCTTACTTCTTAATGTTCTAGACGAAGGAAAATGTTTTACTGAAGTGGTGTAATCCCCTGTTGTGTGGCCCAGTAAATGAGCAGCCACGTTCGTCTGAAACGCTGTAACCGATTTCCTGCTCTTCTGTTGTTTCCACTGAATATTTATCAGAAGAAATATTTGTGTAGCACAAAACATCATCACAGCACATCGTTTCTTCTCCCAGAGTTAAATAGAAAAAGGAAGTAAGCACAGGAACATAATATTTCTGTAAATTGTTCTTTCGGAGATCTGCTTCACGTCGGCTTTGCTTTGATGTTTCTCATTTTTATTGCATTTTTGAGTTTACTTTGAAACAATGCAAAACTTTCCCTTTTTTCTTTTTTTAAAACTACTTTAGTCACAGCAAATCACACCTCAGCTGGCCTTACAGGTGCTACTACAGTTTGACAAAGCTATAAATTCAGCACTGGCACAACGAGTCAGGAACAGAGTCAATTTCAGGGTAAGATAACAATATATAAAAGCTGTTTATGAGGTACAGTAACAAAACCTTGATGCAGAATGTCATTAAAAGCTGTGTGCTCTAAGCAGAAACTTGCAGAGGTCCATTTTGACTCTGAAATAACGACTGTTTACATGTATGTTCTGTATGGAACTGTAAGGCTTGTTATCTTCGTGTTCTGCCAGGGATCTTTTGAAGGAATGCAAAAATCAGAAACAGATCTGGTGGGCAGATGAAAGCAGGGGAAGAGGGAAATGCTTAGATGGGTAGCATTGCCACCCTCAGTGTCTTGCAGATGAGGAAGGAGACTTTTACTTCTCTTAGTTGTACTTAGCAGAAGTGAGACGAGGCCAGGTTTTTGGCCACATGTATAATGTGAAGAGAGACTGGAGAGTTGTAGATCTAAACTTACACAAGTCACTGGCTCATTTTGTAGCTATTTTCTGTAGTTACAATAGAAAAATAAGTTTTGGGGTTTTTCCTCAGCCAGCCACCCTAATTAGCCAGCAAACTGTTAAATGTCAACTTGATTGTAATTTTGAGGAAAAAAATCTAAAAACAGTTGTCCTGTTAACTTATGTCCTAATATTTCCTCTCCAGTCTATGCAGAATGCATTATTGAAGTGAGCTCTTCAGATCTTAGATTTTTAAACCATATAGATATGTTAAAAAGAGTATAACTTCTTTTCTCTAACACACTTAACTTGCTGTGTATAAGAAACACGATATAGAAAACTGTTCAGAAGGTGTTTAGTGAATAAATTAAAAAAACGGAGCTTAACTTCAAGAACATCAGTTTAAACTATGTGAAGATGAAGGCCAAAAGGTTTACATATCAACATTCTCAGTCAGATGATGTTTTATTTAAACTATTGCTTTATTTAAACAATTGCAGAATTCACACCTTGTTATGATCGCTGCTGGGACTGGTTTTTCTGATGGCCCACGTTTTAAGAAATCTTTTCTGATACTGATCCTTTATACGTATTAGAAAAATTATAAAACTTCTTAGCGTACCTGTGAAGCTTCCCCTTGAATTGACTATCATGTCACTATGTGGCCTTGACAATTCCAGCCACTGGAGGGCATTTAAACTACAGTTTTGTCAGAATTGCTTGATTGCCAAGTTTGTATGCATTCAGGTTCACAGTTGGCTTTATGGCAAACCTAGTTCTAGAAGGTATGTAGTTCAGTACGTAGTAAGCGTCATATTTTCTGTTACTTTTGAGATGCATCCTATAGAAAATGTCTCTTGTCTTTTTAAAGGGGTCTCTGAATACATACAGGTTCTGTGACAACGTATGGACATTTGTATTGAATGATGTTGAATTTAGGGAGGTCACCGAACTTGTGAAAGTGGACAAAGTGAAAATTGTAGCATGTGATGGAAAAAGTAAGTATAGAATATGATAGAAATTAACTGAGACACAAGACTTGATAATTTTTAAAAAACTTTGACCAAATGTCTGATTAAAGCTAGACTGATAGTATTATTCAGACAGAAAAGGGCTCTGCATTCCCTTGTACATGTGATGAGAAATAAAACCAAAAGCAAGCTAGATGCTTCCCTGACTCATGAGCACTAAAACAGGACGGTGTTAGAGAGTGATGTACCCCTGTTGTTGGGAAGTACATACTACTACAGTGACTAGAACGTTGGAACTAATCTTAGTTGAATTTCTGTGTGGTGATTTTTCTCGTCATGGTGCTGTTTTAACAAACAGGTTTGTTAAAACAGCACCACGTTTTATGGAATTAAAGTCGTGGTTCATCAGTCCGAGCAAGCAATTGTCTGAGAAAAGTGTCTAAGCAGTTGTTTGCTGGATTTGATAGTAGGGGATCCAAGCACGTGAAAAGTTTCTGGTAGCATTTGCAAAGCATATTGTAAGATTTATATATTGGTCAACAGGCCCAGTGTATGTACACAGCTTATGGGAGTGTCTGCTCCACATCTGCTTGGCTGGATTACTTTTGTCAATGTTCCTTGAAATTATATACTGGAAAGAGTAATTTAGTGACTTCTGTGTTGAGCTTGTTTATAACTCTTAAAACCATCAATGTGACAGAATATCGTTAAGGATGTGTGAAATATTGCCACTTTTTTCATTCCTGGGGAGTGATGCTAAAAGGAAGAACTGAGAATGGAAAAGGCTTTATTGAAATATACCCTAGACCTCTGAAACAGATTCTTCATGTCTTCCTGGTCCTGGCATGATTACAGTAGTCACTTCTAGTTGTAGTTCTAAATAGTTGACAGAATTTATTGTTTGCTCAACTGCTGGTTGTAGCCAAGCATATAATCTTACTCTGTTTATTTTTTGTGTGCTTATTATAGCTAATAGAGGAAACCTTACTTTCCAAGTATTAATCATTTTCCCTCATGATAAAGTATGCAGATAAGATTTAAAGACCTAGGTGACCTAAAGTTGCTGTTAACATTATGGCCTTCTTTTCCCCACAAGAAGTTGACTTGCTAAAGGAACATAGTAAACGGTGACTTGGCTTTGTCCATATCCAAGTTCTGTGTCTTTTCCATATCTCTAAGAACAGGGAAGCAGTAATGATAGTATTACCAGAAATTGCACTGGTGTTAATTGGTGCTTCTGACGAAAGTTCAGAACAGAGAATTGCTCTCAATTGTTTTATGAAGATCATGCTCGTTCTTGCATCTGCTTCAGAACACGTAATAAACTCTAGCCCACACTCCACAGCGGCTTATGCTACTGCATGTGCAAACCCCTTTCTCTCTAGTAGATCACCTGATTTACCCGGATGTGCTCTGCTGCAGAAAAGTCTTTGTGTATTACTACAAGTTAGAGCAAAGAGCAAAGCTTCTTGTATTTTAATGCCTTAACAGAAAACGATGTGTGTGCACAACCTTGCGGTTTTGTGCTCTTTTCAATGTTGCTAGAAGTGAAACAGCACGAGTAGTTCATGCATTGCATTGGGAGCAGTGGAGGGAACTGAGTAGGTACAGAACGTGTTCTAAAGTGCTTGGGAAATGCTTTTGAGATTGGGGAAGGTATTAGAAAATGGTAACAGTTCTCTGTAATTTATACTTTGGCAGGGTATGTATTATTCACACTTTCTTTTTTCTTTCCTAGACACTGGTTCCAATACTGCAGAATGAATAGAACTGTGGTTTCTCTGCAATTTTTTCTGTTGACATGCAGCACTTTCTGGAGAAAAGCATGGAAAGGACTGTGTTCATACTTAATTCTTGTGATGCCGATGTGAGTTAATCCATACTAGAAAGCGTCACAGAATGACAGCGGAAGAAATACCTGTAGCATTTCTTCAGTTCACCATATAGGGCATAAATACAATGTTACTTTTTTTTTTTTTTTTAACTACAACAGATACTGTTGCCTTTTTTGTTTAAAATAATTTCTGTAATAAACTTTTATTTAAAAACTTGTGAATGAATGATCACTGGAAAACTTTTTTTAAAACAATCATTAATACATCCTCGCAATATTGTGGAAGTGTGTTTAGAGTGATGTTGCAAATGCAGAGCTCTTTCAGCTACAGAGTGTGGTGGCACTGATTAGTATTGCAAGAAGTGGCTGTTCCAGAATGAGGGAGGAGCACATGGACAAAAGCTTAGCAGCTCGTGCTGGCCAGGACAGTTGTCTATTATTGCATCTTTCTATCTATAAATTTGTCCGTTTGGTACCCTCGCTGCTAATAATACAGTAACCCAAGTATGAAAGTTATTGCACAGCTAATCAAATTGAAATAGTGAAAATGGGTCTCGTAAGATTGCAGTACATTCTCAACAAATGGTAGTGCTGCTCGATTTAATGTTTTTCTAATTGTTTTTTTGTGTGTTTATGTGGAATACATTTAATTGGACATCTGGGCAACCAAAGTTCAGTGAAAGAGTTGAACTATGAATTTTGAGATATCAAAAGGATAACTGTTCCTTTTAGACTTACATATTCCACTAAGTAACTCCAATCAAGAACTCCTTAAAATAGTTTCTTTTCTAGAAGTATGAATATACTGACAGCTCATTTTTCTGACGACAGCAGTTACTGTTGGAATGCTAGCAGCCTACTTACAGACCACTAGAAACTGAACACTATGGAAGAAAAGTCAGGGCATAACTGTTTTCAGATCAGTCTAAATCTTCAGTTTGTGCTGCATATGAGCATAATTTACATATTGAAACCTTTCTCTATGGGTCAGTGGCCCAGTCTATTGATTAAAAGTAATAAAGCTTTAGTATCTCTTCTAATACCTTTCCAGACTGGTCAACCTTTGGTCATCAAAGGATATATGGGTTTTGCTTAAGTTCCCGCTTCCCTTGCTTCAAGTGAGAAAGGAGTTCACAAACTTCCTTGCTAGACTTCCAAATATTATGTTTACCAATAATTTTTTGGTCTTGTATCTATGCTAAATGTCCTTTCTGCAAACTAAACATTGGTAAGTAGCCATGTTTGAAGCCAGAAGAACAGACTATTGCTCTCATTTGAACAGCACAGTAAGTATTCTGTTGAGGTTGTTATCTTAAAGGATGTAAATGTGTATCAGTACCATGGTTTTCTCTTTTTCTGCATCAGACTCCGGCATCTTCTAGGTTTAAACATTTTTTGTTCTCTAATCACATGAATTTCAGCCCTTACAACTATAAAAGTTTGCTGTTCCTACCTTCAACTCTTTGCAGTCTTTTCCTGTCTCTGGGCAGAAATTTCTCAGTCTCTAGTTCTCTGTAGCCTTTGGACCCCCTCTTAATGCACATAATTATATATCTGATTTTGTTCCAATTAAGTGTGCATTAGCATATTTACTATAGTGTTTTTCCATTAAAAACAAATTCAGTAGCAAAGCACAGTTGTACTGATGATGTGAGATTACTGTGTGGAATGGATTTATGTTTACATTTCATCGATACTCCTCTATCAGACTTCTCATGTGTTTCAACAGTTGTATGCTACTACTTCAGCACTCCCAGGCTTAGTGCTACCTTAGCTGTTAACTGAAAGGAAACGAAATATTTAACTGAAAAAGAAAATACTGTAATGAATGTATATACGGAGAAAAATCACAAATGAAAAGAGAAATAGTTTTGTTGACAAAGATGTCTGCTACTTCGTAATCAGTGAATCTCAAATCAATGTGAGCAGGAAACAGAAAGGATTATGTTCATAAAACAGGACAACTTTACTGACTTGTTAAAAAAAAATAGTAGTAATAGTCCTATTGCAGCTCTAGACTTGGACCTTTGGAAGGAGAAGATGATGAGATACTCCCTGTGTTTATGCATAACAGTAATATATTGAATCATTTACCCTACTTATTTGTTGGTTCCTATTGGGCATGAAAACTGAGATTTGTATATTGCCTTGCCTTGTAAGAAAGCATTTGAAAGGGAGATGGACATTCTGAAATGAATTTAAATGCTCTATACCCAAGTCTTACTGGACTGAAAAAATATGCAAACTTAAATGACAATGATGTTCTTCATTAGCTTGTTTTTCAGCCTGAGTTAAGTGAGTGGCAACAAGAGAGAGGTGAAAAATACATTCAATGTTATGGATGCTTCTGAACTGTTCTAAGATTTTTCCTATTGCTAGTAATAATTTCTTAAAAGAAATGCACAACAGACTTTAAAGATTTTTGGAGCAACTGGAACGGTTGGGTACAGGAAGCAATCTATTCCTGGGCACAGTGATAATGAAGGGATGGGCTTAGGCCGTGTGAAAGGCTAGAAAGCATGCACAAGGTGGGGGGTAAGGGATATTTTAGGTGAAACAGCAAAGAAATGAGAAGTACTGAGTGGGTAACATGCTTCTGTAAGCTAGACATTCCTCTCTCAAGCCAGAAGTCTGAGCCATACAGAACAACAGGAAGAGAGGTTACCAACCAAAAAGAAAAACTGAAGGAAAGAAAGGCAAGCACATACCCTGGACCTTCTGTACTGCTGCTGCCTGCCTAATTTCTGGTGGTATTAATCTTTATTTCTCATCTGGCTAATCTTTTAATACCACTGTTAAAAATTTTCTGGTAACAGGCTAGCTCAGTTTGGTTATGGCGAATGCATCAAGCTGTTGTTCTGCAAGCCACTGGTTTTTCATTCTTATGGCAGAATCCTTGTTTTCTGTGTACTTTACTTTACAAAATAAATATTTTGCTACAAGTTTGACTACTTATTGTTCCTGAAATTAGCTTACATATGCATCTTTCATCTCCTTCATGACAGTGCAGTGTTAGGCATCTCATACTTTTGCATCTGTGGGGTGTTTCTAGGACACGGAATTCAAGTCCAGATGCACACAGACTACTGAGTTTACCTAGGCACACAAAGAATACTTAAACTTTTGTGATCAGCACTATTCTTTGCTCCTGTAGCCTGTTGTTCTTGAGAGCCAAAGGGCAATCTGTGTAAATGCAACTGAGAAGCCTTGGCAGCCTTGTTCCTTGCACGCTTATGTCACAGTGCAGAAGTCCAAGTACCACCTCTTTACTTTTATTTGCTCAGTAAATATACTGTTGAAAACTGCAAAAGTTAGTGTTGGTTTTGTTTATGTGAAGAAACAACAGGGATAAGGGTTGCTTTGTGGTTTCTAAAGCTTCTACAGTAAATGTCACATAGGTCTGATGCTGCACCCTTATCTGACATTTTACTGCATTGTGTTTGGAAATACTGTGTTCCTAGGTTACCCCTCTTAGCTCTAGTTTTTCTCTCTCTTATATTTTTGTTGTTGTTGCTGTCTCTAAACTATCCTTTTTTTCTTAAATATCCCATTCAACATGTGGTATTTCCCTGTTAATTCTGCTGTCTCTTTAGAAAACAGCTCTTGAGGCACACTGAGGTGTAAATAATTCTTGGGAGTAACCTTTTTGATGTATAGAATTGCTCCAGTGATGCCTCAGGGAGTATCTGCCTATGGGATGAAGACTGTTGCCTGCTCACTGCAGGAAATGAGCTTGCCTATGCTTCTGGAGGAGTTAATTCCTGCAGACTTCTCAGCTGTCTGCACAAGCTCTGACACTAGCTTGGTTCTTTTTGGCTCTAACCATGTTTCTGGGGTGGTGTTTGGGTCCAGGCCCCGAATCTGCTCCTTCTGTGGAGGCTGTTTCAGTTCACTGAAGGAGAGGGGAAGCAAAGAGAAGGGGATCCTGCTTTTTATTGCTTTACTCTCCATAGCTTTCTTGCCACTTGCTATTTTTTGTGTTTGAATTTCAGCTAATCCCTCTGTGTTCATATGATTAATGTGCTTTTGTGGTCTTGGAATATTTGTTCAACTTGCACCTGAAACTGTTAGCTGCACTTTTGTTATACTAAGCTATTTTAATATCTAGTGGAAGACAAACCATCCTTCCTCGCCTGTAGTGTTATGGACCAATTCGTTGTTGTTATTTTTATTATTTTCTTCAGAAAGGTCACAGTTACTTCCACCTATCAGTAGCAGAGAGAAACTAAGAGATACCTTTGCACCTTGACCTTGAGCTGGAAGGGATGTTTCTACTTAGAAAGTAAATTAACTAAAAGAAAGGGAAGAATAAACACCAATGCAGAAGTGGCTGTGGGTGACTGGCTGTGTTTAAACATGGCTTCCAAGAGAGAGGATTTTGTGAATTCCCTAAGTGTGCAAAAGAGGATGTTGCCTGACATAAGCTGTTTGCTCAGTCAAGGATGTCAATCCCTGACTTTAAATGTTATCAGAGAGACACAAATTAAAGGAAAGGGCAGAGCAGGAAGAATTTATGATGACTTCCCAGAAGACAAGTTTAATCAGGGTCTTTATGTAATTTTACACAATGACTAGGTACAGTGAGATAGATGAGAGTTACTCAAAACACAGATACTTGCTTTTAAGGATTAGCTCAGGAAGTAGTATTTCAATTACTAGTACTAGTAGTACTGAACCAGTACTTCAGGTACTAGTGACTTTTGCTTTTCTGTACTCTAAAAGTTCTTGCTGGCGGGGGGGAAGAAAAGTAGGAGCACTTCACTATAACTTAAAGGGTGATCTTTGTTAGGAAAATAACTTTGCTCAAAGATAAATTTACTGTATAAATTAGCCAGTATGGCTTAGTATCACAAAATCACAGAATCTCCATGGTTGGAAGGGACCTTTGAGATCATGGAGTCCAACCACAAAAAAAAAAGGTAGTAGTAAGTAGAAAGTCCCAGATATGTTAGTATTTTCATTTTCACCTGGTGCTGAAAGAGCCTGCACTCTCCAAGGAAGTGGAAAATAGTTCACTGAGAGTCTAGTTAATGTTTCACGATCACTGCTGTTGCAGTCAGAAGAAAAAAGACACCTTAACCCTGTTTCATGAATCAATTTTACTCATGACTGCAAACATTTTACAATTGCTTCTTGTTTGTTCAGAATTTATTACCTGGTCTCCTCTGAATTTATCTCAATTGACCTATCTCCTTATTATAGAACGTTTCAGAGATGATCATATAGAGTATGAAAGAAATGCAAAGCAAGAAGGAAACTGGAGTTGAGATGTTCATGGACCCACTGTGTAAATATGTCCTGTGACAGTTTCAGTTTGCATTAGGTTGTTCTTATAAAAATAGAGTGAATACCACTTGGAAATAAAATATAAATTAAAGCCAGGTGAGTTTAAAGAAAATAAATCTGTTATTAGGGTTCAGAATTATAGTTTCACGTTTCTCCTGTGCATACCTTGAAAGGTAAATGGCAATTTGCAACATATTTCCTCCTTAAACAACTGGAGGTGGTTTATTTAAAGTTTGGGTTGTTAGTTGATTGTAGATGGAAGTGTCAGAAGTAGATTTTCATCCTCTCACTAGTCAAAGTTAACACTAATATTTCTGATATGACTGTATTTCCAGTTTGGGTAACCCAAGGTTTTACTGATGAAGTTCATATGAGGTTTAACCGATTTCTTGGAGGTGATCCTATATTCTGATAGGTCAGTGCTACTTTGTGCTACAGCTTGTCCTACTCTATTGGAAGTTTATTCTATTTTAAGTTCTGCAACTAATCTTGGCAAGTTACATTCTTTCTTTGTGCCCTGTTGCCAGATGCAAATTCTTTTTTTTTCTTTTTTTTTTTCTTTTGTATCATCACTCCTTTGACATGTGACTGCACTCATAAAAATAACATTTCTAATGTCTTTGGAAAAGGAAATGCTGAGAACATTCCTTTGTAAGAATATTTTTTGTCTTAGTTCACCTTCTGAATTTGGGAGTCGTCTTGGTCCTTCAGAAGAAATTAAGTCACTTATAAAAGGACAGGGTGAGTTGAAAATAAATTTGCACAAAATAAGCCTTTGTTTATGGAACCAAATCATCTGAGATAAAAGTGTAATAACACCAACATAAACTGAAAAATTTCTGTGAATCAAGAGAATTGGATGTGGAAGTTTAAAAGTTGCTGACTCCTCCAAGATAATAATGCCAGAATATTTGTTTTCATAAAAATCAGTGATCTCTTTGAATGGGGAAGGCTGTGTAGGCTATGTTGTTAGGTAACTGCTGTCCTCTTGGTGTGTCGCCAAGCTGGTTTTTTGGTATGCTGGTTTCACTTGAGGTCTTTGTGTCCTACCGGCAAACTCTTTCAAATGTGGATAAATACTTAGAATTCTGTCTCTGGGTGTAACCAGGAAGAGCACAGATCACAACAAGTAACATAAAAAGAAAAATTAATATGACATTCCTAAAGACTTACCGTGGAACAGATTTGAAGTGGTGCATTTTTGCCGACCCCAACATCTACGTATTTGTCTCTGTCTCTCCATCTGGACATTTTTGCCAGGGAAGTGTCTGTCAATGAGAGATAGAGCACTCTTACTTGAATAGTGTGTACAAGCAATACTGCCTATTTTTGAGAGAGTTAAACATATTTACAGAGTGAAGGGGATAAAAATAATAGAGGTCCATCTTTCAGAATCTTGCACTATTTCAGGCTGAGGTTCCTTCCACCCCCAAACACCTTTTCGCTTTTTGTAGATGCTCAGAAGACTCTTTGAGAAATAAATTACTTAGATCTTCTTAAAGACATCTCTTTCATGGATGGGTTTGGTTTTGATGTGATCCCTTAGAATAGGAAAGTATGGGTTTTTTTCTCGCTGTGAATATGCACCTTTTTTCTCCATTTTCCACGGGGAGAAAAACCACCACCTTGCCATAGTCAGAAACACTGACCTTGCTCTGCCTGATTTAGTCCAGAAATGTGATCGTATCCCAGGCTCCCAGTGAACCACTGGCAGTAGTTAAATACACTTTAGCCCAAAATAGCAATTGAAAGTAAATGAAAGAGCTCCACCAAGCAAAATCGGGTCAGGCAGCAGTGGTTAGAAGCAGTCGTCTATGGTGGGAGACTTGAGTTCTTACCCTGAGTCAGCAGAAGCGTAGTTTGTTCTACATGAATATACTAGACATAGAGATATTTGTGATATTTGCTATGTAATGTTGAAATTGCTGCTGAAACCATTTTCACATTATCTATGTTACTATCAGGTTACCATAAAGCTTTAATCTGTGTTGTAGCAAATGTCTGTTTCCGTAAATTGGAGAGTTTACCACTGGGACCAGCAACCCTAGGGCTTTATTTGCTCTTTTTGAATAACGAAATGCCCAGCGATACCTTGGGTATTTGAGAGCTTTTCTTGCCAGGGTTTTTGCCTATGTTTCCTGTGAAACCACCCTGGCATTTTACAAATCAGCATTTTAAGACCAAGTTCATTTAAAAACGTCTAACAAAATTGCAGTGGCACACCCTTCCCAGTCAGTTATTTAATCTTCCCATTCAATTCAAATCAATGTTTGATTGCAGTGTGCAATCTGTGATTGCAGTCATAACTCCATCTAAATGTAGCCTGGTGCTATGGAATTGCTTCAGATGTTCTTTGTATAAATGCTAATCCTCTACTGGAGACCTTGAATTTGCAAAGGTAAGAGTGTTTCCTGAGACAAGTACTTGAAGATTTTTTTGGATAGCACAAAGACAACTGAAACAATCCCTCAGCATTACATACAGTGAGAAGCTGCTGGATCCATGGAAAGTGGCTGGTTTAATGTAAGAAGTTGGAAAAATACATGGGGGCAAAATAAAGAAGTTCACAATCTTTCTTTTCAGCTTCTAGCAACTGAAGAGAAGGCCAGTGTGTTTGTTGGATGATTGTTTTGTTCATCAAAAAGGCCAGATACACTACTGGGTATGGCAATTATATTACCAAGAGGTCTCCTCACAAAAATAGAGGCAAAGAGAGAGGAAGATGCTGTAAAAACGCAGGTTTGCACACCATGACGTGAGCATCCCTCTCCCTCTGTTTCAGATGGAGAAATGGGGTGCAGGGGAGTTAATTGGTTTAACAGTTCTGGCTAGGAGCACAACCGGAGATACAGAACACCAAAGAGCCATCTATTTTAGCCTATTGGATTTTATTGGAGGATTTTCTTTTTTAATGGCTAGTGTCAGAAATCAAACTTTAGAGGGGTGCAAAGGCCAGGTGTTAAGCTGAGCAGGGCAGCAGGTGGCAGGAGCGGGTGGCCTGCCAGGCGCTTCGTAGAAAGGCAAATTCATTCCAGTTTCTGCTCGGCTTGAAGGTGGCCCGTGACCCGGCCCTGCCCCTCCACAACAAGAAGCCCTGTGCTCGCTGTCAAAGGAGAATGGAAAAACACCCTACCCCCGTCTCGTGGAGAGGGTCCGTGCGGAAGCCGTCTCTGAGGAGCCGCCGGCGGCCCGGGGGAGGAGCAGGGCGCTGGGCACCGGGCATTTCCTGAGACGAGTCCCGCCGCGGCGCCCGCAGGCACCGTTACTCCCCTCACGCGCGCGCGGCCGCCACTCCTCCTCAGGGGGCCTTTCCCGCCCGTCCCGCGGAGGGATCCCCCCGCCAGAGCGGGTCACGCGCCGCCTCAGGAAGCGGTTCTGCGGCCCCTCCTGCCGCCTCTGACGCGCCGCCGGGCAGCCTCGGCCAGGGACGGCGGCGGGTGCTGCCCGGGCTCTCCGCGGCCTCCCCTCAGAGCCCCCGGCCGTAGAGCGCACTGTGCCGCAGGTGCTCCTCGAGGCACTGGATGGCGACATCGTCCACCGTAGGATCGAACTTGTTGGCCAAGAGGTGGTGCTGCTGGAGCATCCAGGCCAGGTCGCCCGCCCCGTAAATGCAGACGGAGCGCTGGTGCTTGCCGGTGCAGGGCTGGTAAGGCGCGCCTTTGCTGGTGTCACCCTCCAGGTACTCCCACTTGACCAGGCGGGCCAGGGCGTTCATGTCTGAGAGGTGGAACTTGTCATTCTGAGGCCTGGCACCCGGCACGCCGGGCATGCGGTTGAGGGTGGCCCAGATGTGCTCGTCGGGGCTGTAGGTGTCCTTGGCCCACTCAAGGAACCTCTGTGCTGTGGGGTTCTCGAAGATGTGCTGCACAAAATCCCGCGTGACCACAATGTACGCATTGCCTGTGAACATGGGAAAGCTGTGGGGTGGTGGCGCTTTCTGCGTGGCTGTCCGGGAGATGACCTTCTCCACTTTATAATGGTACTTCCAGCGCTCCTGTTTGAAGGCCGAGGGCTTCTCTGACTCCATGCTGTTCTGCCCCTTTAGCATCTTCAGGGCATGGACAATCTCAGCATTGGTCTTGATGGGGAAATCAGTGCCACAGGTGTTGAGGATGTAGCGCCATTGCACAGGCCTCTGCAAGAGGTCCTGCATGCAGTTGAGGTCAGCCTGCACCCGGGACCAGGAGGCATAGACCACACTTTCCAGGCGGCTGGCCACAAAGACGTTGGGGAAGCAGGCTACGATGGCCCGCACGGCCTCCTGGAAGTCAGCTGGAGACTTGCTGTCAACGTGGACACAGTAGATGTTCTGAGGGGCATAGATGGATCGCAGGAGCCGCTCAAACATCTCAATTTTGTCGTGGATGACCATGGAGTAGGCAATGGGGAACTCTGCCTCTTCCTGGCTCAGTGGGAACTCGATGAACCGCTGGGTCGCCTTGAACTTGCCGCAGTCCTTTGTCATGTTCAGGTAGTCACTTGGTGTCAGAGGAACCCTTCGGTTCACCACTTCCAGGCTGCTCAGCTGGGCCTCCTGGAGGGCTGTCTTATCCCCACGGATAATCTGTGGGCAGTTGATCCTCTGTCTGGGGGAGAGCTCCAGCACCCGGAAGAGACGCCGGCGGCAGTGAGGATCATCTGGAGCAGTGGCGTGATGGCCGTCAGGGCAGGTCCAGGAACCCTTCGGTTCACCACTTCCAGGCTGCTCAGCTGGGCCTCCTGGAGGGCTGTCTTATCCCCACGGATAATCTGTGGGCAGTTGATCCTCTGTCTGGGGGAGAGCTCCAGCACCCGGAAGAGACGCCGGCGGCAGTGAGGATCATCTGGAGCAGTGGCGTGATGGCCGTCAGGGCAGGTCCGCCAGGTGCTGGGGAAGCTCAGGGCTGCCATCAGCAGCAGGGCACCCAGCAGCAGGGCGGCGCGCACCCACACCAGCGGGAGACTTCGCTCACACAGCCGCATCCCACCCCCCCGCACCGGGGCACTGGCAGCAAGCCTCTGCGCTGCTCCCGCTTTTCTGGGGGCGAAGTGCTCCCCAGTGCCCTGCCTTCCCCTCGACGGGTCCGCTCTTGCCTCTTCGGAGGACGCTGGAGCCGGCAGTGTGCAGGGAGTGAACTGTCAGCCCGGGTGCCTGCTTCCTGGGTAGTGGTGAAACAGTGACAGGGAGATCTCAGCGTAATGGGCAAGTGAATAAAAGGAAGTCCCCTCCCTCCCCATGGCATGACTTTGTTGCCCTATGTTAGCACTGGATAACTGGGCAAAGTGCAATCTCTGCTTTTATATTGGAAACAGAGGGCAGAGCCCATGGTTTATAAATAATTTGCCATAAACTGTCTGCTTAAAGGAGGGAGTGAGAGAATATTGGTGGAGAGTGTCAGGACCCCCTGTTTGCACCTACATGCACATCCTGGCTAAGTATCGCTTAATAGGAGTGACTAAAATATGACTTGGGCTGTGGTGAACAAAATCGCGTCCCCTAGGTTTTGCAGTTGTCCTGAACTGCTCTGTGGTTTGAACCAAACATGGGATTTGATACCATGTTTGTAAAAAAGGGCCACTTTCAATGATGAGTCAAAATTTCCAAGGTGGGTTTTCTAAGATAAGAACAAAGGTGTATTTCTTTTATTTTTCTTTCTTTCTTTCTTTCTTTCTTTCTTTCTTTCTTTCTTTCTTTCTTTCTTTCTTTCTGTCTTTCTGTCTTTCTGTCTTTCTGTCTTTCTGTCTTTCTTTCTGTCTTTCTTTCTGTCTTTCTGTCTTTCTTTCTGTCTTTCTGTCTTTCTGTCTGTCTTTCTGTCTTTCTGTCTTTCTGTCTTTCTTTCTCCAGATCTATCAAGCAATCCAACGCATAGACCCTGCAGCTGGACTGAGGACAGTTGGCGTAGGTGTAGTTTTGCACAGGTTGTAGAAAACAGCAGCAGTTACTTTCCCAATTTCAGAACTGAGATTTTTTGTTGAATTATTAGCTTTACCCAATTCAGTAAGTAATTGCCTTAGACATCTGTGGTCCAGCAATTCTAATGGGCATTATGAAAGGCAATGATGTGATACATACAGTATTTCCTATATGCACAGCTGTCAGTTCGCCTGTGGGAGAAACGTGGGGAGAAAAAAGGCTTGGGGACCGTAAACAAGATGGTAGATGGGCCAGCTGCTTCTCAGTGCAAGGAAGATATTCGTCCCATTTATAAGTGCATTTTGCTCCTGAATTTTGTTTCTAAGCTGGAGGACTCGTTCACATGGACAATTTTGAAAGTGTCCTGAGGGAAGGTACTTTCCAAGAAACTCTTGGCATAGGACAATAATAATAAGTGCTTCTTCTGCACTTCCAAGCAGCTCTTCCCCTGCAGGTTGCCTCTGCTACCATGCAGTGTTTTCCAGAAATTTGAAAAGAAAGTGTAGCTCTTTAATCACGTTTTTACAACCCGTAGTTCTTTGTAAAGAGTCAACAATTGGTAAGTCTAACCTGGGACTTGAAAAACGTTCTTTCAGTGTTCTTAGCTATACTGTTAAAGTCATCGGTGTATTCAGTTTCTGAGCTGTGCCGAACGTTAAAAAAAACCAAACCCCAAACCAGCCCCAAAAGAGTATGTGAAATGACAGCAAATTGCTGCTGTTTTTCGTTTTATGTTGGCCAATGGCTGAAATCACATACGTGGATAGATAAAGAGTAGATTGTAGGAGTGATACACTGCTTGAAAATGCTGTCATACACATGGATGAATGTTAGCCATGTGGAATATTATTTTTGGAAAAGTTATCTTTGTTGATAACTTTATCTGACAGTAAATGTTTTTTCAAGGAAAGCCCAATGCTGAGTAAGGAAACATGATAATTTGTCAACATTCTGTAGATTTAGTCACAAGTTCATCAATGTGAAACTCCTTTGGAAGAAGTTTGTCAGCACTAGCATCTTGAACTTGTTCAGTGCAAGAAACTTGAAACTTTTGAAGGTTTCTGTGGTTGGCAGCATGGCCATAGGAGCACGTGTCCTCTGCTCTGGGGTTTGTAGCTCTTCATCTATGGGCTCTTATCTCAAGAAAAGCGCAGTAAACCCAAGTAGTCTGAAGTGCTTATGTTCTACTGACTGAAATATCTTCCTTGCCTACTTTCAGGGTGAATTTTTGAAACCGTCTCCTTTGGAAAGTATGACATCTCCAGCTAAACAATTAGCTGAAAAGCTGAAAAACCTCCATGGTAGGGTATCAGTTGATCATGCTGTATGTAATGACCAACCCTCTCTGAATGACTTGTTATTTGGCATGCCGGTTTTTCCTGTGTTTTGGTATTATTCTTTATGCATTCTCTTAAGGCAAGTGGTAATCCACATGATAAACACAGGTAAACATTCCTTTATTCTCTGCTAAGCAGGTCTGCTACGTAACCATAGCAGACGAGCTGTGGATTATGGCTGCAAACTTTACAAATTCTTGTGAAGCTTGGTATCTAACTTGTCTGGTATGAATAGTATGTATTACAGACAAGATATGTACATGTGAAAAGCTTCATGAAAAAAATTTGTGTCCGTAGCGATGGTTTAGATAAATAGTTGGTATTTCAGTTATATAACAGAATACAGATACTAACCTCCCACAATTGAGGAAGTTGTTTTTTTCCTGTTGCATACTCATGATGCAATAACATAATCCTTAAAGACATATGAAAATGGAATTAAATAAAGTGTGATGATTAACAGCGTGCTTTCTGCAAAGCTGTTTTTTCCCATGAGAGAAGAGTCAGCCTACACAAAATAAAATTTAATGTAATGTCCAAGACTTGAGAACTTGTTTTCATACTAAATAGGGATTAAAAACTTTAATATTGATATTCTTATGTGTAACTGTAAATTCCAAAATACTTCAGTTTGAGCTTTGGGCTGGGATCATTGGCTTTGGCTTTGTTTAATGATGATCGTGTCTCAGGGAATACAAAAGTGACTCTTTTTAAAAGTGAGTGTAAAACAACTGTCCTATGGTAAGGATGCTGTAGTACAAGCACTGTCTACAGCGTAACCATAAAGACATCAGTAGGCTGGAGATATGACAGTAAATTGCAATGCAAGAGGAGGGTGGTTCAATCTTGTTTGGATAATGATCTTTCAGAACACTATCCATGGTAAGTTACATAAGATTCTTGTGGTACGCCTTTTGCAGAAACACGCAACAGGCCACAACCCTCTAAAGCTGTTTATATTTGAAATGGCAAAGGAATGGCATAGAGAGGAGTTCAGGTGCTTGGCAGTGATGGCCGTGGCTTAAAGATCACTGTGCTGTCATGAGACAGGCTGGTGTTTCTATTCACTTCCAGAATTCTGCTGTTGATACCAAGCAATTAAGAGTTCCTCATCAATGTGAAGACTCTTGAAGCAACTTGGATAAGTCTCAGGGCCCCATCTCTAGTACCTTTCTGTACCTGCTTTTGTTTTAAGAAGGCATATCAAGTCAGAAGTGTTAGCTTTCCAGTGAAGGGTTACAAGGAATAATCACAAGGTGACCTGTTACTTAACTTGCCTAATTGCACAACTTCTAGGTTGTGGTTCAGATAAAGGCATGGGAGAGTGGAGAAGAAACATACATTCTCCTTGTTTCTCCAAGGGGAAAAAAAATGCTATGTGATTGTTTGCTGCTGGTGTCACACCTGGAGAAGCACCTGGTAGAAATGTAGGTTGTGATGGCAAGGCTCACAGTCTGAGTGGGTTCACCTGCTGTACACAGTTAGCTTGTAGAAGGAATGGGTTTTTTCCTGAGAGATGCAGCTTTAATAAAGAGGGACAAAGAGAACTCCCTTGGAGGAATCAGCCCCGAAGTGGTTGGTTATGAATATGTGTAAGGAAAGGATTTTTACATATGTAGATATACTGTCAGCTTCTTTAGCGTGCCTTTCTAAGAAATATATGAAAGTAGTAAGTTTTGTGAACCCAATCAATTAGATATCTGAGACCGAGCTTGTACAAGCTACAAAAGACTCTTGTGTGTTATACTTCATTGCTTGTGGGAGCTTCGAATTTAGTTTTTAGCTTCTTGGTCACAAGTGGTTTGATAGTGGTTTGGGGGTTGGTTTTGTTTGTTGTTTTTTTTTTTTAAGTTAGAGTCTGTGTGGTGTGTTACAGGCCAGCCTATAGGGATTTTGAAGGACTCCACCTCTAAACTATGGTGTTACTTTTAAGGTATTAGGGCATTATTGTCTTTATCATTCTGCTGCTTTTGTATTTTATGTTCTGTCAGTTTTCAGAAGTGAGCCTTATTTCCTGATGATTCAATTGAGGGCATGGTGTGCATTGTGGTGTGGTTTCTCCAGTGTTGGCTCCCTGCTCTGCAGGTGTTACTAGCTCACAGCTAACTCCTGTGTTCTCCAGGACGTTTGTGTCAACAGGGGGGATCTTATATTCACAGCACAATGACGCTCGTTTAACTGTTGTGTCTGGTAGTTGTTCGTCTTGTTTGTTGTTAACTGGGATGGTGCAAACAATACTCTTTTAGAGAGATGATAGAGAGTTTGGGGTCATAGGAATAAAGAAAGGAATTTAATTTAGTACATTCCTCCCAATGAAGAACCCATGATAACTAGCCTACTGAATATGCTATTTCTTAACAGATAAAGGATTTCCTGAAATTGAAGTGTTACTGAGAAGGTTTTTATCTGAACAAACAATAATCTTAAGAGCATGTTAGCTTTGTTTCTTGCCTTGTTGGCAGCTGTCTAAATAGCATTCTGAACTTCAGGTTGAAATATAAGCAAAGTCACAGGAGGAATCAGCAGGGCAAAGGTGATTGTTGCTCTAGAACTGTTGGTGTGGGCTGGCCAATTCCTTCTGCGGTTCCTGCAGTGTGCTGTCCTTGTTTGGACTGCTGTTCTGTGGAGAAACCCAAGTATTTCATAGTAGTTTGGGTGCCCCTGCCAACTCTGGCAAAGTTGGTTTGCATTTTACTTCAAACAGGTATAATTTCAGTAGTTTACATCTGAACCTCTTAGTTCCAGCTTGCTCAGTCATTAGTGATCTAAAAAATGTGCCGTGTGTCAACTCCTCTTGCTGGAATAGTCCATATACCTGAATGAGAGAGAATTTCAGTGATTAGCCATTTCTGCTGATTTTTAGATGGCATTAGTACACTCTAATGCCAGCAATGAACAGTATTTCCAGGTCATTTCACCCACCTATTTACAACAATTGTGCTGTTGTTACGAGTAGCAATTAATCACTTTCTCTCTGGACTGTGTCACGGCAACTGAAAGTCATAGAGCCAAACTTTTTAAGGTTAGGGAATAAAAACATATACTCCAGCAGGTGTTTGTGTCTCTAGTTATTAGGCAGCTTGCAGAAGAGTGAGAGGGTACTATACATTATATTTTCTGTGAAAAATTGATTCACATGAGTTAAATGAGCTGGCTTATAAGGCCGTTTTCTTAGTTGCAACTGAAATGCAATCTTGCAGGTTGTTTCAGGGAAGAGCTGCTGGGATCGTGACTAAAACCGTAAGACAGCCCCTCTCCCCTCTTTCCTCTGTTGAGGTTCCTGAGGTACAGATGTAAAAAGTTTAGGTTCGGAAGATTTTTCCATGTGTAAGCACATAAAAGATGAGAATGTTTGGAAAGTGTGTGTTTGACTAACTGCAGAACAATTCTTGGGCAGTAAAGTCTGCGTTCAACCAAGGTGGTAAGTCTGTTCTGAACTGTTCCTTCACTTGCCTTCCCCAGTTAGACCTAGAAAAAACAACAAACCCCCCACACTTTGCAAGGGTATATTTAAGCAAACAATAGTTTACATACTGAAACAATGTGTTCTTTAAGAGTACTAATGTTCCTTTATTTCAGGAAGGTTATGGTTCATGATCTTCTAGAAAGCATTTGAAAATAATACAGCAAAAAGCGCTACAGTGTTCTGCATTTAAAATGGTGAGATCCCAGCACTGGTGAATAAATAGAGACTGGTGCTGCAGGACAGAATTGCTAAAATACTGATAGGATTGTCCATCTGTTGCAGACACACAGTGTTAGCCATGATTGCTAAAGCATCATGACAAGAGGAAATGGAATGTATCCGTAGTCAAGAGTTTGGTGTTTTAGTGTTTGTTGTTTATTCCTTTTTAATACACCTCTCTATTGTTTCCTGTAAAGGTGTTACTCTAATTGAAACCATGTCTGACTGGCGATACGGTTTTACAGCTGAGATTTGACAGGCATATTTGTTCTTGCTAGCATGACTATTTAGCACATAGTGGAAAATTGGATCAGTAAGTGTGGTGTTTGTGGTTGTGTTCATTTGCATCAAAAATACACATCACAGACTAAACTCTCTTCACCAAAGAAGAGGAAAAACTGTCTCCCACACACAGGACTGTATGAACTAGTGTTTTGTGTCTGGGTAGTTTTGCTACTGCTTCATCATCTTCTGCCTGGAGCACGTTGGAAATGTAGTTGACTCTAACAGGAACTAAAATGACACAGTTTTTACCCGTCAGTGAGAGCTGACTCTCCTGGTTTTGGAAGTGCCAGCAGTGACCAAATGCAATGTTAAAGCAGAGGCTTGCCAATGTCTGAGACAGAAAGGCAACACCACACACAGGGTTCAGAACAGGTTTTGTGTGCCCCAGTGAAGTGGTTTTAGCTAGAAAATGATGGTGTATGCCTCAGGGCCTTAAGGAGTTACATGTTTTTGTTAGGTATGTTCTCCCCTCAGTTTGTGAATGCTGGGGGTGTGTGAGGGAATGGACCACAGAAGATGGCTGGGCTTGGGCGCAGTGTTTCATGGGCAAGCCTGTCATGGACACTGGAGAACCCTGTGTCCTTTCATAGAGCAGGCAGCGCTCAGTCTCTAACCTAGCAGTAGTCAGGGAAACTTGCATTAGCAACTGCAGAAAAACACCAAAAGTGTATGGGCAATATGCAACAAACAATTGAGCTTTTGAGAAGGGAAACCTCCTTGACTCATGGTGAGTTTGTAGTACTCTTCCACTTAGGTAGTCTTGTCCAGCTTCTCTTTCACACAGTTTCTGTAGATAAAATAGACTTCATCAATGTTTGCTTGCAATGTACAATCACCCATATGTCAAAGAAAGGAAGCAAGTCCTGCTTTTTGCCGCTGTTGTTGAAACGCGTGCAGTCTTTGTGATTACAATGCAGTCCAGTGGTACAATCCCTCTAAAAGGAGTTTTAAAGGAATAAGGAACTTATTGTCAGACAGGTATTTTTTCTGACATGTTATGTTTGCCTCCCCCCCGCCCTTTGAGTTAAGCTGCAGCACTAATATGGTACCACTGGATTTGATAATAGAGGTAGAGAAACGTCTGCCATTCTCTAAACATTTGCTTTAGGAGCAGCAGTAACTTGCTTAATCAAGCAAACCCACTTCTCTACGAGATGAGAAGTTTAAGTGACAAATGTTCATTCCTTGAAAAAGTTTTAGTCGTGAATGAAGGAATAAATCACAGAAAAGGCCTGAACTAGCTTGTATGTATATGCCTTCATGTATACTTTATGCCCATGAAGGGTGCAGCTGAAGAAGTGAAGGATAAAACCATTGTGACTGTGCAAAGTAGTGGGGGAAGTGAGAAGTCCTGTGTTTGGCTGCTTTTCGGGTAATGTTTCTGTGAGAAATGTGGTTGAGTGTGCTGCATCAATTCAATTTTTATTCAATGCAGACACCAAAATACATAATGTTCTTGATGTTTGTCTCATGTTGTGACTGTTTATTTTTACCCTGCCTTTTAAATCAAGTTCTAAGTGTCATTGTCTTAGAGAAATTAAATAGCTGATGGAGGGCAAGAAAAGAAACAGAAGCGGATCTGGATTGTGACCAGTGACTTTGAATATTTGAGTTGCACCAGGTTTTTATACTAGCACAGGAACAGAAGATATCTTGTCAGAAACCAAATGGTAAAAATGTCCAAGTACGGCATTCCAAAAATCTCTGATCTTAATCAGGCTCATGGTTAATTTATGGAGAATGTTGGTGATTTACTTTTTTTATTTTTTTTGACAACTGAGTGCCTCTCACCTGCAAGAGAGCAGATCAATATACCTGCATGCTCTCTCCTTACCTTCTAGTCTGTCAGTATCAGCATCAGGCATGAGCTTTTTTGTTAGATATTAGTGACTCCTGTCTTTTGAAGGAATAGGCAGATATAGCACTGGAATTCAGGGACTACAGCATATTTTCCTACCTGATTTTTTTGTTTGGGGTCCTTTGGTTTTTGTTTAGTTGGCCGGGTTAGGTTGGTGGGGTTTGGTTTTGTTCTCTGGTGTGGAGTTTGTTTTTGCTGGTTTTTTTTGAGGGAGTGGAGGTGTTCCTCCTTAGACACAGAGACAAGAGAACCCCCCTATCTACTGGTAAATCACAGTTACAGAGTTGTCCTGGGTTTCCCAGTGGGCCTTTCCCGCCCGTCCCGCGGAGGGATCCCCCCGCCAGAGCGGGTCACGCGCCGCCTCAGGAAGCGGTTCTGCGGCCCCTCCTGCCGCCTCTGACGCGCCGCCGGGCAGCCTCGGCCAGGGACGGCGGCGGGTGCTGCCCGGGCTCTCCGCGGCCTCCCCTCAGAGCCCCCGGCCGTAGAGCGCACTGTGCCGCAGGTGCTCCTCGAGGCACTGGATGGCGACATCGTCCACCGTAGGATCGAACTTGTTGGCCAAGAGGTGGTGCTGCTGGAGCATCCAGGCCAGGTCGCCCGCCCCGTAAATGCAGACGGAGCGCTGGTGCTTGCCGGTGCAGGGCTGGTAAGGCGCGCCTTTGCTGGTGTCACCCTCCAGGTACTCCCACTTGACCAGGCGGGCCAGGGCGTTCATGTCTGAGAGGTGGAACTTGTCATTCTGAGGCCTGGCACCCGGCACGCCGGGCATGCGGTTGAGGGTGGCCCAGATGTGCTCGTCGGGGCTGTAGGTGTCCTTGGCCCACTCAAGGAACCTCTGTGCTGTGGGGTTCTCGAAGATGTGCTGCACAAAATCCCGCGTGACCACAATGTACGCATTGCCTGTGAACATGGGAAAGCTGTGGGGTGGTGGCGCTTTCTGCGTGGCTGTCCGGGAGATGACCTTCTCCACTTTATAATGGTACTTCCAGCGCTCCTGTTTGAAGGCCGAGGGCTTCTCTGACTCCATGCTGTTCTGCCCGTTTAGGACCTTCAGGGCATGGACAATCTCAGCATTGGTCTTGATGGGGAAATCAGTGCCACAGGTGTTGAGGATGTAGCGCCATTGCACAGGCCTCTGCAAGAGGTCCTGCATGCAGTTGAGGTCAGCCTGCACCCGGGACCAGGAGGCATAGACCACACTTTCCAGGCGGCTGGCCACAAAGACGTTGGGGAAGCAGGCTACGATGGCCCGCACGGCCTCCTGGAAGTCAGCTGGAGACTTGCTGTCAACGTGGACACAGTAGATGTTCTGAGGGGCATAGATGGATCGCAGGAGCCGCTCAAACATCTCAATTTTGTCGTGGATGACCATGGAGTAGGCAATGGGGAACTCTGCCTCTTCCTGGCTCAGTGGGAACTCGATGAACCGCCGGGTCGCCTTGAAGTTGCCGCAGTCCTTTGTCATGTTCAGGTAGTCACTTGGTGTCAGGGAAACCCTTTGGTGCACCACCTCCAGGCTGCTCAGCTGGGCCTCCTGGATGGCTTTCTCATCCCCACGGATGATCCGTGAGCAGTTGATCCTCTGTCTGGGGGAGAGCTCCAGTGCCTGGTAGAGACGCTGGCGGCAGCGGGGGTTGTTGGGGGCAGTGGCGTGATGGCCGTCAGGGCAGGTCTGGCTGGTGCTGTGGAGGGCCAGGGCAGCCACCAGCAGCAGGGCACCCAGCAGCAGGAGGGCACCACGCCGGCGCGCCGGTGGGAGACTTCGCTCGCACAGCCGCATCCCACCCCCCCGGCACCCCACGCCGCCACGTGCCACCCGCCCTCCGCGCTGCTCCCGCCTGTCCAGGGGCGAAGTGCTCCCCAGTGCCCTGCCTTCCCTTCGACGGGTCCGCTCTTGCCTCTTCGGAGGACGCTGGAGCCGGCAGTGTGCAGGGAGTGAGCTGGCAGCCCAGGTGCCTGCTTCCTGGGTAGTGGTGAAACAGTGGCAAGGAGATCTCAGCGTAACGGACAGGTGAATAATAAGTGGATAAAAGGAAGTCTCCTCCCTCCCCGTGGTATGACTGTGTTTGGTTTTGTCAACACTGGAGGTGGCTGTATATCTTTTATGTCTGTTTAAAAGAAGATATATTATCTTAACACCTGTCCAGTGTGTAATGCAAGGAAAATTCCTCAACCTCATGTAACATGCTTTTAAAAAAGACTTCATTAGATGACTTTGGGAACTAACCTGCTTTTCCAGTGTTCGGATCATTCCAGCTCACAGGTCAAGGGAGTGATAGCAATAGCTCGGTAGACTAGAAGCCCAGCTGCAGCAAGCTTTCTGCTGGCCTGGAGCATTTTGAGCTTAAGTGAAGGATTATTGCAAAAGGATAACTGGGCAAAGTGGTGAAACAGTGACAGGGAGATCTCAGCGTAATGGGCAAGTGAATAAAAGGAAGTCCCCTCCCTCCCCATGGCATGACTTTGTTATCCTATATTAGCAGTGGTTAACTGGGCAAAGTGCAATCTCTGCTTTTATATTGGAAGCAGAGGGCAGAGGCCATGGTTTATAAATAATTTGCCACAAAGTGTGTGCTTAAAGGAGGGAGTGAGAGAATATTGGTGGAGAGTGTCAGGACCCCCTGTTTGCACCTACATGCACATCCTGGCTAAGTATCGCTTAATAGGAGTGACTAAAATATGACTTGGGCTGTGGTGAACAAAATTGTGTCCCCTAGGTTTTGCAGTTGTCCTGAACTGCTCTGTGGTTTGAACCAAACATGGGATTTGATACCATGTTTGTAAAAAAAGGGCCATTTTCAATGATGAGTCAAAATTTCCAAGGTGGGTTTTCTAAGATAAGAACAAAGGTGTATTTCTTTTATTTTTTCTTTCGTTCTTTCGTTCTTTCGTTCTTTCTCCAGATCTATCAAGCAATCCAACGCATAGAAGGATGCTGTAGTACAAGCACTGTCTACAGCGTAACCATAAAGACATCAGTAGGCTGGAGATATGACAGTAAATTGCAATGCAAGAGGAGGGTGGTTCAATCTTGTTTGGATAATGATCTTTCAGAACACTATCCATGGTAAGTTACATAAGATTCTTGTGGTACGCCTTTTGCAGAAACACGCAACAGGCCACAACCCTCTAAAGCTGTTTATATTTGAAATGGCAAAGGAATGGCATAGAGAGGAGTTCAGGTGCTTGGCAGTGATGGCCGTGGCTTAAAGATCACTGTGCTGTCATGAGACAGGCTGGTGTTTCTATTCACTTCCAGAATTCTGCTGTTGATACCAAGCAATTAAGAGTTCCTCATCAATGTGAAGACTCTTGAAGCAACTTGGATAAGTCTCAGGGCCCCATCTCTAGTACCTTTCTGTACCTGCTTTTGTTTTAAGAAGGCATATCAAGTCAGAAGTGTTAGCTTTCCAGTGAAGGGTTACAAGGAATAATCACAAGGTGACCTGTTACTTAACTTGCCTAATTGCACAACTTCTAGGTTGTGGTTCAGATAAAGGCATGGGAGAGTGGAGAAGAAACATACATTCTCCTTGTTTCTCCAAGGGGAAAAAAAATGCTATGTGATTGTTTGCTGCTGGTGTCACACCTGGAGAAGCACCTGGTAGAAATGTAGGTTGTGATGGCAAGGCTCACAGTCTGAGTGGGTTCACCTGCTGTACACAGTTAGCTTGTAGAAGGAATGGGTTTTTTCCTGAGAGATGCAGCTTTAATAAAGAGGGACAAAGAGAACTCCCTTGGAGGAATCAGCCCCGAAGTGGTTGGTTATGAATATGTGTAAGGAAAGGATTTTTACATATGTAGATATACTGTCAGCTTCTTTAGCGTGCCTTTCTAAGAAATATATGAAAGTAGTAAGTTTTGTGAACCCAATCAATTAGATATCTGAGACCGAGCTTGTACAAGCTACAAAAGACTCTTGTGTGTTATACTTCATTGCTTGTGGGAGCTTCGAATTTAGTTTTTAGCTTCTTGGTCACAAGTGGTTTGATAGTGGTTTGGGGTTTGGTTTTGTTTGTTGTTTTTTTTTTTAAGTTAGAGTCTGTGTGGTGTGTTACAGGCCAGCCTATAGGGATTTTGAAGGACTCCACCTCTAAACTATGGTACTACTTTTAAGCTATAATGTTACTTTTAAGGTATTAGGGCATTGTTGTCTTTATCATTCTGCTGCTTTTGTATTTTATGTTCTGTCAGTTTTCAGAAGTGAGCCTTATTTCCTGATGATTCAATTGAGGGCATGGTGTGCATTGTGGTGTGGTTTCTCCAGTGTTGGCTCCCTGCTCTGCAGGTGTTACTAGCTCACAGCTAACTCCTGTGTTCTCCAGGACGTTTGTGTCAACAGGGGGGATCTTATATTCACAGCACAATGACGCTCGTTTAACTGTTGTGTCTGGTAGTTGTTGGTTTTTATGTGTCATCTAGATAGTGAAACGTTAAAATATAAGGAAGTACATGCATAAGGTGCAATTGTAATCAGAAAACAACGCACTTTCCTTTGCAAACTGTCCCAGTGTAGGTCCTCTCTACAGGCTACAGTCCTTCAGGATAAACCTGCTCCACTTGAGTCCTTCACAGGCAGTAGTTTATGTCAGAAAACTTGCTCCTGTGTGGGCTTCTCTCCACTGGTTGCAGCTTCCTTCAGAGTGCACACCCCACTCTGCTCCACCCACCTTCTTCACTGGCCCTGGGGTCTGCAAGATTGCTTCTCACACTTCCTCCACCCCATCAACTGCTGAGCAGCTGCTTTTTATTTTATTTTTTTTAAAAAAACCCCAACTTTTCTGAAGCATGTTTTCACAGAGCACCTAGCTACTTCACTGATTGTCTCAGCTTTCTATGTCTGGCACGGAGCATCTTCTGATCTCTTACACAGAGACTGCCTCTGCCTCCTTACCAATCATTGCCACGTTAACCCAGTAGATGAACCTTTGTTCCTCTTATGCTAATGGCAGGGAGGAAGTGCAAGATGAGTGGTGAGGGTGTGACTGACTTAAGGCAAATGATTTTTTTTCTTGGGTTTGTCTTTCCCTTATTCCCTCTCCAGCCCTTAGCTGGCTTACGTACTTGCTTGGAGAGGCTGATGGCTCTAGTCTTCTTGGAGTCCACTAGCATATTTTACAGCTATAAGATGATTTATGATATAGTTAACATGTCAAAGGCACGTAGATGGTTATCCAAGTTTACAGATAACACGTTACCCTAAAACCATGGAGAATCAGCATGCTGGTTCTTTCCAAAGTTACAAAAGCTGGTTATGTGATAAATACATACTGGCCTGAGACCTGTAAAATGATTTTGCAGGGATGCACCTAAAAGTACTTCGGGCTCATTTGATCTTCCTGTAATTTTTGGTTATGTAAACAAAATTAATGATGCTCTCACTGTCTGCTAATTAAGCAAAACTGGTCCTAAATACACTCTATACATATTTGCTGTTAAGTGACCTTGTGTTAAAATATAGTATTCTTCTGTGAAGAGCTGCATTCCACTTTTTTCATGTGTGTTCACATAGGCAATTTTCTTATTTGTGTCAAGTAGAAATGGATATTTTTCAAAAGAACTGTACTTTTTTTAATCAATTAACTGTACAATTTTTAATCAATTCCTTTGAACTATGCTGACAAGAAAGAAGATTTCTATCTTGGCTGTTAAGATTTTTTTTTTTTACTGACTGTCCTGATATAGTGATACTTATCTAGCTAGATATTACCTCATGTTACTGTCTACATAGAATCATATTTGGCTTATAATTTTAAGACTTAGAGTTTTAAAATTACTGACAAACATTTGGAAAGCATTACGTTAACCTTCCCCTTATATATCTCCAGAACCTAAAAGTTCGGTGTTCTTGTGTGGAGTATTTGGCACATCTTGCTTTTCGATGGGGAGGTGGGGAGTGAACAAGGAAGTCATGAGGTCTCAAAATAAATATAATGAACCTTTTGTAAATATGTATATATTATATGTGTGCAATTTATCTGTAAAACTTTAACATGATGAACATGGTCTTTTGCAGGTTTTGCTTTTTGAAATTGAAAACTGTGTAATTACAGACTTTAGCTTTGGCTTTCTTTCCATTTAATTTCAACTGAATTATGTGGCTCAATCCTGTACTCTGTAACAGGTCAACCTGTATCTTTACAAGCTACTATCGCTGCATCCTTAGGTCATTTTGTTGACCTATTAAGAGATTAAGTCAATCTTTGAGGAAACTGTTGGACGTCCATTTTTGTTTTAGTATTCTCCTTCATTGTTGGTTTGTGACAAATGGTTTGAAAGCACTATATGCAATACCTCTGGGTCTGCCACTGCATGGACGTGATTCAAAAAGCACATGAAAAGGCAGCACAGAGTAAGTAAAAAATCAAAACATAGTCATTTTTGTAGCATGCATACCAGTTCCTGTTTCGTAACTGAGCATTGCTTGATGCTGAATCACTTTACAGCAGGAGGCTCATTGCTCTGCAGTTTCAGGACCTCTGCGGACATCTTACTGAAGTGGAAATCTTACTCCCATCTCACTGGAGGGGAGAAGGATTTCTACTTTCATCCAAGGCAAAATAGCGGGACTATATGGAGTAACAGTGACTATGGCTTTGAAGCAAGATTAAACAGATAGTCATAATTGACATTTAGTCAGCAGGTTGTTATTTATTACCTGATGTTTTACCAAAAAGCTGAAATCTGCTGGTAAGGTATGAGTTTCCTAAATCACATTTTGTATAATACAGACAAATAGAGGGATAAGGCATTACTCACCTTATGCAGATTGCTGAAGACACAGGCAAATAAGTGGGATGATGCTAGTAAAGGTGTTTAAAAAAAAAAAGCCTTTAAACAACTCTTAAAACTGGCACTGTTTCTGCCTGTGGTGCCCAGCACTGGAAACTGGACGGTGTCCTGGGCGAAGAAAATAACCTGATTTTTCTTGAGGGATGTAACACAAAGAAAACACAGTGGTACTGGGGACAGTAAATGCATTAGCTCAT